GAATTATTGGTGTTCCCTGGGTATTGGTCATCTCTCCTGGCGCTAAGGAGAGCAGCAGTGACCCTGCTGGAGGGTTTTCTGGGACAGGATTTCTCAGTGGTATGAGTGGGATTGATTTCTGGTAGTTTGAAGTCAGTCTAAACTCTGGAGAAAATGCAACAGTTGCTTTGGCCTACCTTTATCTTTAAACTGCAAATTAACTAGTTTGGAAAAGGGAAAGTTAAAAAGTGAAGAGAACAGCAGTCTGTAGTTATTCTTAACTCCCACTCCATCGCCTATTCCCCAAGAAAGCATCAACCAAATTATTTCCTAATGGAAGTATGAATTTAAACTACGAGCTGAGACTTATTTGAGGTATAATCAATTATTAAACATGTCTTAAATACCCACTTTATGCCCAGCACTGTGCCAAGTCCTATGAGTGATGCCAGAGAAAGCCAAGTTACTGACTTAATTTTCCTCTAGGAAATTCCAATCTAGTTGGGAGCAATCAGAATTGAATAACATTATGTGAGGGCGGGGGTAGTGGCTCATACCTGTAATCCCAGCACTTTGGGAGGTCAAAGTGGGTGGATCACCTGTGGTCAGGAGTTCAAGACCAGCCTGGCCAACATGGTGAAACCCCATCTCTACTAAAAATACAAAAATTAACCGAGCATGGTGGTGCACGCCTGTAGTCCCAGCTACTTGGGAGGCTGAGGCAGGAGAGTTGCTTGAGCCCTGGAAGTGAAGGTTGCAGTGAGCCGAGATCTCTCCACTTCATTCCAGCCTGAGGAACAGAGTGAGAACTCTGTCTCAAAAAAACAAAAACAGAACAAAAAACCCGCACAAACATATATGAGATGTTGCAAGGCATCATGGGTAAATTGTAAATGAGTAGAACATTTAATAAATACTGAGAATTCAGAGGAGGGGAATTTGTTCAGGGAGAAAACAGCATAAGCAAAAGTTAGCAGAATTCGTATCACCTGTCATCACAGAACAAAAATGACACTAGTGCGAGTTTTTCTTTTTTTTTTTTTTTTGAGATGGAGTATCACTATGTCACACAGGCTGGAGTGCAATGTCACGATCTCTGCTCACTGCAACTGCTGCCTCCCGGGTTCAGCAATTCTCCTGTCTCAGCTTCCCAAGTAGCTGGAATTTCAGGCATCCACCACCATGGTCGGCTAATTTTTTGTATTTTTAGTAGAGACGAAGTTTCGTTGTGTTGGTCAGGGTGGTTTTGAACTCCCAAACTTAAGTGATCCTCCCACCTTGGCCTCCCAAAGTGCTAGGATTTTAGGCTTGAGCCTCTGTACCTGGCCCACTAGTGAGATTTGATCAGAAAAACGTGTGCTAGGGAGTTGTTCCAATTACTATTGCTATCTAACAACACCAAATTTAGACATTTAAAATAGCAATGATGATTTTATTATTTCTGGTGGTTTCGGCACAGGAGTTTGGGAAAGGCTGAGCTGGCTGGTTCTGACTCAGGATCTCTCCTGAGGTCAGACAGTGGCTACAGCTGGAAGTGGAGTGAAGAAGCTGGGGGCTGACTGAGAAGCTCTCACTCTCTTCATGTGGTCTCAAGGCTTCTCCCGGTGATCGCCTTTCTAGGTTAGTTTGGGCTTTCTCAGAGGGTAGGTATTTGGAGAGAGCCACTGTCACATGTCCTCAGGAAGCAGACTGAGGTGTCGAGACGTTTGTTGTTGAGTGATATTTAGACCATTACCTGTGGACAGGAGGAGAAAGAAGCAGGATTGAGCAGAGGGAGCAGCTGAATGGCAATGCAGTCATAACGCAGGCCTCAACCGACCACGACAGGGTGCTCTGGAGCGGGGATGACCGTTCTGAGTTTGTCTAAATCTGGGGAAAAGGGCAGGCTGGTCCTTTACACCTCTGTGTTAATCACTCATTGGCTGGGGGCTTCCCCAGAAGGAGGCATAACCTTGAGTGAGGTAATCTTGAGCCAAAGCAATCCCCTACAAGGGAGGACAGCGTAGGGTCATCTTCCAGCAGCTGTGGGAGTAAGTTCTTCAATCCTGAAGAAAGAACTGGGTGGTACTTCAGAGTGCCCACCACAGTTCTGTCACCATCTGTGGCTTTCCCTAGAGGGACTCAGCCATTTTGTAAGGACCTGGCAAAGAGGAAGCTGGGAGAGTAAGTGTCCAACCTCACTTTCCTCCTGACTTGATTTCCTATAAGGACAAGTCCAGGAAGGCATAGGACCTCACACAATTCACATAGGTTCTGGGTTGCAGAGCAGGGTGAAGGGTGAAGGGTAGATCTGGAAGTGCAAACAAGATATTCAGCGGCAGTAGATGAGTTCTTGGTTTTTGAATGTTAAAAGCATGTTGTGGCTGGGCACGGTGGCTCAAGCCTGTAATCCCAGCACTCTGGGAGGCCAAGGCGGGTGGATCACGAGGTCAAGAGATCGAGACCATCCTGGTCAACATGGTGAAACCCCCTCTCTACTAAAAATACAAAAATTAGCCTGGCATGGTGGTGCGCGCCTGTAGTCCCAGCTACTCGGGAGGCTGAGACAGGAGAATTGCTTGAACCCAGAAGGCGGAGGTTGCGGTGAGCCGAGATTGTGCCATTGCACTCCAGTCTGGGTAACAACAGCGAAACGCCATCTCAAAAAAAAAAAAAAAGAAAAGAAAAGAAAAAACCCTACCAATTACATCAGCTTAAAGAGTGATCTGATCTGGTATGTGAGTTTGGCTTTGGCTTTTCTCCTGAGAGAACTAAATTTCACTCCTTTTTTTTTTTTTTTTTTTTGAGATGGAGTCTTGCTCTGTTGCCCAGGCTGGAGTGCAGTGGCGTGATCTCGGGTTGGTGCAACTTCACCTTCTAGGTTCAAGCGATTTTCCTGCCTTGGCCTCCTGAGTAGCTGTCAATTTCACTCTTTTACCCTTCCTTTTAGCTTCATATGCCCATCTGCTAGCCTGGTAATAGTCTTTATTCAATCCCTTTCCAGGCACCTTTCTTTCTGTGCACTAGACCTCTGGGGACTCTCTCCTTCTCTGGCATCTTCTTTATCCTGACTCTTCGGTTAATGCTGGAAAGCAATAAGCTTCAAGGTAGTGTATTCAGATAATGTAGATGAGAGATGATGTGAGGGTAGAGATAATGGATGTGGAGACAAAGGCCACTTTGGCAAATCTCTGTCTATGCTACCACGGTGTACTTTCCACAGCCACTATTCAACGGTGAAACCGAGTTCACGGCTTTTCTTCACACTGATTATTTCCAGGATACAATTTAATCCCAATCATCGCTTTTACTTGAAACCCTACCATTTGATGTCAGTAATAATCTCTTCCGTCTCTTTGGCTTCTGTGTCTTTTTCCTTCTCTACCTACTCTTTGAGGACTTTGGTAGACAGTCCCTCCCTCCTCTCGTTTCCCCTTCAACCATGTTTTGCTCTCCTTTGTCTGAGAGTTTTTATACATTCCCTACGGACATTTAGTTTTTTTCTCATGGCTTTAAGTATCACTTGTATGCACGTGACTCCTAAATCTGAACCTTCTTCCCAGAACTCTCTGTTGGATTTTGTTCCAGACTCTGTAGTGGCAGGTGAGATCAGAACTCAGGACTTAGGCCAGGCGCGGTGGCTCACACCTGTAATCCCAGCACTTTGGGAGGCCGAGGTGGGTGGATCACGAGGTCAAGTTCAAGACCAGCTTGGCCAAGATGGTGAAACCCCATCCCTATTAAAAACAAAACAAAGCTTAGGACTTATTCCCAGGCTTGTACTAAGATGCGCTTTCTTTTCAGCTTTTTTTCCTTCCTTTGCTTTTTTTTTTTTTTTGAGATGGAGTCTCACTCTGTAGCCCAGGCTGGAGTGCAGTGGGGAGATCTCAGCTCACTGCAACCTCCGTGGACTTCCCCAGTCCTGGTTCAAGCAATTCTCCTGCCTCAGCCTCCCGAGTAGCTGGCATTACAGGCACGCAGCACCATAAACAGCTAGTTTTTGTATTTTTAGTAGAGACAGGGTTTCACCATGTTGGCCAGACTGGTCTTGAACTCCTGACCTCGTGATCCACCTGTTTTGGCCTCCCAAAGTGCTGGGATTAAAGGCGTGAGCCACCGTGCCCGGCCTTTCCTTTGCGTTTTTAACTCTTCCTTGAACTGTTTGTTCCTTAATCCATGTTGGTTTCATTTTCATGTCATCCTGGCTTTTTAGTCTGCATTAAAACAAAAAAAAACTTTATGAAATCTCCAATGCCCCCCTCAAAGATGCTTTTTTTTTTTTTTTGAGACAGTCTCCCTCTGTCCCTCAGGCTCACTGCAATCTCCGCCTCTTAGTTTCAAGCCATGCTAGTGCCTCAATCTCCCGAGTAGCTGGGCTTAGAGGTGGGTGCCACCACATCCGGCTAATTTTTGTATTTTTAGTAGAGACGAGGTTTTTGCCATCTTGGCCAGGCTGGTCTCGAACACCTGGCCTCAAGCGATCTGTCTGCCCAGGCTTCCCAAAGTGCTGGGATTAAAGCATGAGCCATCGTACCCAGCCAGAGATGCCATTTTATACTAAAAACTCTTTTCCCCCTCTCTTCGCCTTCACAAAATTTCCTTTGCAGGGAATTCAAAGGAAACATTGTAGAGACAACCATCGTTTTGTTTTCCTTTAAAGCATTTACATTTTCTTTATTTATTTGAGATGGAGTTTAGCCCTTGTTGACCAGGCTGGAGTGCAATGGCTGGATCTTGGCTCACCGCAACCTCTGCCTCCCAGGCTCAAGCCATTCTCCTGCCTCAGCGTCTGGAGTAGCTGGGATTACAGGTGCACGTCAACATGCCCGGCTAATAGTTTGTATTTTTAGTAGAGATGGGGTTTCACCCTGTTAGTCAGACTGGTCTCGAACTCCTGACTTCAGGTGATCCACCCGCCTCGGCCTGCCAAAGTGCTGGGATTATAGATGTGAGCCACCATGCCCGGCCAAAAGATAATTCTTATTTTAATCTTTCATATCCCATCCCACATAGATAAACTTTTCTTCTTGTGTCTTGAACACCAAATTTGAATCCCCTGAGGGGTTCTGTACTGTAATACCAGGTCCATGCATGAAGTGGACAAGCAAGCTCCTAGTCCGTCTTCCTGCTTCAAAAATCCATATAATATATTGGACTCGGAGAGAAGATACATCAGATAGTAAACTGATAAGAACAGATTCTACACTTGATCTTAGCCAAAAGGCAGAGAAGGATAAACACTTTTAAAAGACTACTTTACCTACAGATTTCCATGGAAACCAACCAAAGGGAAATTAGACAGGCATTGCTGTGCCATTTCTATGCTAATTAATGTCTGATTTTCATTAGGCCAGCGTTGTTTTTTCCGCCAAGGTCTTAGTGTTTATTACAGCAACAATTAGCTCAGTAACAATTCCTCCAGGATCGTTTTATTTAAATATTATTAACGTACATACTTCACCCAGCTGCTTTCAAAATTGTTGTCTTTTACGGTGTTAAACTACCATCTTTAAAATCTCGGCTCTGGCTCTGCATCACGGAAGGTCAGGCTCTGTGAAAAGCCTGACCCCAGCAGGACAATGCCACGAAGTCATCTTTTTAATGTGATGCGCGCGTTGCTGTACACCTTGGCTGCAAAGCAGAGTCTGTGCTTTTAAAACGGCCAACAGCCGGTGCGTGCCATGTGGTGAATTATCAGTATCGCAACTTGGGCACGGAAGGATGCTTTCTCCCTCTTTAACACTAACAACAGAATAAGAAATAAAAAACCAAAAACCAACTCCAACAGGCAACAAAACCGTCCGAGTGCCTAGGGAAAGCGCGCCAACTACATAAAGAAAAGTAGGGGGGCTACTGGGATTCAAAATCATTTCTCCGGGACGTACACCCTCCTGGACCTATCGAAATTAACTGCGCGCTTGATCGTAGCCAATAGATACGGAGTTTCTGGTCCAGGTCCTCCCTGAAGACTGATAGACGTTTACATTGCCCAATGGAATCATGTGACGCTGAAGAATCAACCAATACGTTTGGGAGGTGGGTGGAGTGTAGGCCAGGGGGTTGGCGGTGCCGTGTCATGGAGGCTCAGTCTCTGAGCAGCCATTGAAGGAGAAGGAACTGCGGGTGTGTGCGTATGTGTGTGTGTGTGTATGTGTGTGCGCGCGTGCGTGCGTGTGTGTGCGCGCGCTAGTGTGTGGACAAGGAGGTGGGGGCAGCTTAGTTAGAGTCCCAACTCTTGGACTCCATTTGCTATTCTCTTCTTTCTCCCTCACACCTATCTGGTGGTAGTGGGCGTTTATATTTGCGTTCCTTTTCATTCATTTCTGAATCCTAAAAATTGTGGGTTGGGGGTGGTGGGAAAGGCAGGAAAGGGAAAGGAAGGAGAGTAGTAGCTGAAGAGCAAGAGGAGGACATGGAGATGAAGAAGAAGATTAACCTGGAGTTAAGGAACAGAGCCCCGGAGGAGGTGAGATGACTCAGCCCCCACCCCTTCCCCATCAGTCCTGTATTCTGAGGATCGGGTTTCTGGGGATCCCGGTGGATGTGCGGGGATGGAGTAATAAGTTAGCCCCCACCCCCCGGGGCTAGGGTTGGAGAATTGTTTAATTTTAAGTTTTAAATCATTAAAATCTTCTACTTAAAATGGCGAAGGGTTGAAGTTTCTAGGGGCGTTTTTGTGTGTGCATGGGGGCTTAGCTCCTTCGGCTTTCATCGAGTCGGGCGTCCGGGCCTCGTGGGGGCGGGAAGCGGGCTGGTGGGGGCGCTCCGCCGCTCGGCTCCCGGCGTTCCTCCTCCCCGGGGCCGGCGGCGTGGGCGCAACCCCCAGTCCCACTCGGCCCCTGCCGCAGCCATCGGCGCCTGAGAAGTTAGTCCAACTTTTATGCAGTGCGGCCAACTCATCTTTTCTGGGGGTGGGCTCCCCCGGCCTCGAGGCCCTGGGCGTCCGACGTCGCGCCGGTGGCGGGCTGGGGTCGCTCGCAGGGTCCGCGCGCGGTCTGCTCCGGAGGCGCCCACTCCTCCGGGAAGCCGCGCGCACCGCCCGCCACCCGGCGGAATCTGGGTCAGCGGCAGGTTCTCCGACCGCGGGCGAGTTTGGGGACTCGTCGCAGTGACCGGAGGTGGGGAGGGGACGGGAGGTGTAATCCGCTTCTTCCCCGCGCGGTGCAACGACATTTGGCACGTCGTGTGGCCGCAACTCTGATCCCTGGAGACGGTTTCACCAAACTCAGCATAAAGGGACGTAGTAGTTTCGTGCTTCAAAGATGGGTTCGGCGAAACTAAATGATGCGCTCTCACTGCTGTCGCCTTAGTTAAAGAGACGGGGTTGGGAGGGGCCACGCGAGGCGGGGTCGCGGTCAACTTTTCTGGGGTCGGGCGGGAGGCGTTTCCGCCTCGTTTTCGCGGTTGCCTCCTGGGCCTCACCTACCCGGGGCGAACGCGGGACGGCAGCGCGAGCTGGGAGGCGACCCCTTTTTCCCCTGGGGAGTCTCCGCCCCCCGTGGGGTTTCCCGTCAGCCGGAGCGGCAGGTCGCGAGAGCGGGGCGGGTGGCCAGCGGGGAGGCTCGCGGAGGAAAGCAGCAGTCTTGCTGAAATAAGCTCTAGAATTGGAATATGAGGGAGGTGTGTAGAGCTGGACCGACCGATCGATAGCATATAACTGGGGTGGTGTCTGTGCAGACCCGCAGAGAAGATGAGCAAGCTCTGAGCTTTCGCGTCCGGCGTGCGGAGTGGGAACTCACACTTTTTAAATTTTTTTATTTTTAGGTCCCTGTTTTCCTGAAATTGGCAGGTGCCAGGGAGGGGATACGGGATATCAGGGTCATCCCGGAGAGAGCTTGTTTCTAGAGCTTATTATTAGAGGCTTCAGGAAAAAAACTCAAACTTTAAAAGCTGTCTCTCAGAAGCACACGTTTAGAATACTTTTTGGTGGCTTGGGTTGGAAAATTGGACACCCCCCGCCCCGCCAGGATTCTTTCACTTAGTGATTGTAGTAATTTCTTTGCCAGTTTTGGGGTGTTCAGGACGTTGCCGTTTTTCAGCTCCTTCCGCTCTGTTGTAATAACGGTCTCTTATATTTGTATAGACAGTTTACAAAGCACTTTTCCCGTTTGTTATTTACTTTCCTCCTTACTTGTAAGGTAGATTGTGTTGTAGATTCCAAATTAGCAGATGGGAGTCTCAGGGCGGTGAAATGAGTTACACAAGTGGAGGAACTGGTTTTCTGACACCAAATGTAGCAGCCCCCACCCCTCAGCTAAACGGAGTGGAGTCAGAACACTGAACCAGTACACAGCCCTGCCACAAACAAACTATGGGCCTAGGCATGTCATTCTTGACCAATGGGCCATTCCTCCTCTCCACAACGGAGCTCAAGATGCTCTCTCTGACCACAGAAATAATTTTCTCAGAGTCATATTCAAATAGAGAAGGTGGGATTCCTTGTTGCTAAATTTTAGCTCACAGATACCTCAAACAAGTTTTCGCCTTGGGTGTAGAGAACTACAGTCTTCGGCCTTTCCGTTAAAGATTAAGGCCATTCAGGCCTACACCAGGAATTTTGTTACTACAACTCTTACCTAATAGGGAATTCAGCCCCACTTCCTCAGGAATGGGGAGAAGTGCACAGAAATGCTATTATACCACAGTGGTAGGGAGAAGTAACATTTTGTTAAGAATGTATTGTTCTGGGTGATACTGTTTGGCCTGGATGTGAGAAGAAATGACACCCTCTGGGCTGTTCCCAGAAGTTTTCTAACATTTCTTCATGAAGGGTAAGGAGGTTTCTTTTGAGTTATGATGGCATTTATCAACCAAAGGGAAGGGGGTTTAAACTAAAGAAGTGATTAAACAGGCTGGGCATGGTGGCTCAAGCCTGTAATCCCAGCAGTTTGGGAGGCCGAGGCGGGTAGATCACGAGGTCAAGAGATCGAGACCATCCTGGTCAACAAGGTAAAACCCCATCTCCACTAAAAACATAAAAATTAGCTGGGCATGGTGGTGCGCGCCTGCAGTCCCAGCTACTCGGGAGGCTGAGGCAGGAGAATTGCTTGAACTCAGGAGGCGGAGTTTGCAATGAGCCGAGATCGTGCCATTGCCCTCCAGCTTGGGTAACCAGTGAAACTCCGTCTCAAAAAAAAAAAAATGTGATTAAACAGTTTCTTCTTCTTTATTCTTCTTCTTCTTCTTTTTTTTTTTTTTGGTGAGACAGAGTCTTAATCGTCACCAAAGTTGGAGTGCAGTGGCATGACCACGACTCACTGCAACCTCTGCTGCCCAGGTTCAAGTGATTCTCCTGCCTCAGCCTCCTGAATAGCTGGGATTACAGGTGCCTGCCATCATGCCCAGCCGATTTTTGTATTTTTAGTAGAAACAGGATTTCGCTATGTTGGCCAGGCTTGTCTTGAACTCCTAACCTCAAGTGATCCACCTGCCTCCGCCTCCTGAAGAGCTGGGATTACAGGTGGAGCCATCGCACCCGGCCCTCTGTAGGTTTTAGGGCAACTCATTTAAATCTTTTCCTGGTAGCTCAAGTTCCCCCTCCTTGCATAAATATATTCCCTGATGTTGAGGGTCTTCTTCATCAGGGTCAGAACAGGTTTCACATGAGAACTTCTTTTTTTTTTTTTTTTTTTTTTTTTCTGAGATGGAGTTTCACTGTTGTCACCCAGACTGGAGTGCAATGGCACGATCTCGGCTCACTGCAACCTCTGCCTCCTGGGTTCAAGCAATTCTCCTGCCTCAGTCTCCCGGTTAGCTGGGACTACAGGCGCGTACCACCATGCCCAGCTAATTTTTGTATTTTTAGTAGAGATGGGGTTTTACCATGTTGACCAGGATGGTCTGGATCTCTTGACCTTGTGATCCACCCACCTCGGCCTCCCAAAGTGCTGGGATTATAGGCATGAACCACCATGCCCAGCCCAAAGTTTGTTTCTTATGCATCAGTGATTTGAAGCAGATATTGAACTTTAGTCCAAGTTTAAATTTAAAAGATGGCTGGGTGTGGTGCCTCATGTCTGTAATCCCAGCACTTTGGGAGGCCGAGGCAGGTAGATCACGAGGTCAGAAGATCAAGACCATCCTGGCCAACATGGTGAAAACCCGTCTCTACTAAAAATGCAAAAAAAGTTAGCTGGGTATGGTGGCACGCACCTGTAGTCCCAGCTACTTGGGAGGCTGAGGCAGAGAATTGCCTGAACCAAGGAGGCGGAGATGGCAGTGAGCCAAAATCGCTCTATTGCAATTGCACTACAGCCTGGGCAACAGTGTGATACTCCATCTCAAAAAAAAAAAAACATACAAAAAAAGAAGTTTAAAAGATTACCTGGGCTGGGCACAGTGGCTCAAGCCTATAATCCCGACACTTTGGGGGGCCAAGGCGGGTGGATCACAAGGTCAAGAGATTGAGACCATCCTGGTCAACATGGTGAAACCCCGTCTCTACTAAAAATATAAAAAATTAGCTGGGCATGGTGGCGCGTGCCTGTAATCCCAGCTACTCAGGAGGCTGAGGCAGGAGAATTGCCTGAACCCAGGAGGTGGAGGTTGCGGTGAGCCAAGATCACGCCATTGCACTCCAGCCTGGGTAACAAGAGCGAAACTCCGTCTCAAAAAAAAAAAAAAAGATTACTTATAGTGATGACTTAAGATTGAATATTAGTTTTGGGGGAAGATGAAAAGGCTCTGTGTAAGGGGATTGATGGGGTTTTGTTGTGTTGCGTTTTGTTTTAACTAATGGGCGATCAAACTGGAGATTGGTGGTTTCCAGTGTCTCAAGACCCAAGTCTATAGCTAAAAAGATTACAAACGAAAGAATCATTAATTAATGTGTTCCCTCTTACAGGTGACAGAGTTAGTCCTTGATAATTGCCTGTGTGTCAATGGGGAAATTGAAGGCCTGAATGATACTTTCAAAGAACTAGAATTTCTGAGTATGGCTAATGTGGAACTGAGTTCACTGGCCCGGCTTCCCAGCTTAAATAAACTTCGAAAAGTAAGTTGGCGTTTACGGGAAGCATCATGATTTCAAAGCCATGACTATTATGTCTAGTGTTTAGCCAAATTGAATGACCATTCTGCTTGCTAATTAGAAGTTTTTAAGTTTCTAGAGATAAGAAAACATTATATAGGATTTTGTGCGTCAACTCTAATATGCTTTCATTCATTCATTTATTCCTTTGTTTATTTGAGATGGAGTCTCTACTCTGTCACCCAGGCTGGTGTGCAGTGGGGTGATCTTGACTCACTGTAACCTCCATTTCCGAAGTTCAAGCAATTCTCCTGCCTCAGACTCCCAGGGAGCTGGGATTACAGGTGCTCGCCACCAAACCTGACTAATTTTTGTATTTTTAGTAGAGATGGGGTTTCACCATGTTGGCCAAGCTGGTCTTGAACTCCTGACCTTGTGATCTGCCCACCTTGACATCCCAAACTGCTGGGATTACATGTGTGAGCCACTGTGCCCGGCCTTATTTATTCATTTATTTTTGAGACAGGGTCTTACTCTGCTCCCCAGGCTGGAGTGCTGTGGTGTGATCTCAGCTCACTTGAACCTCTGCCTCTCAGCCTCAAGCATACTCCCACCTCAGCCTCCCCAGTAGCTGAGACTACAGGCATGTGCCATCACACCTGGCTAATTTTTGTGGTTTTTTGTAGTGACAGGGTTTCACCATGTTGTCCAGGCTGGTCTTGAACTCCTTGGTTCAAGTGATTCTCTTGCCTTGGCCTGCCACAGTGCTGGGATTACAGGTGTGAGCCACTCTGCCCGGCCTAGAAATTTAAATCTAATGGTGGAATTGCCTTATAACACAAATTTGAATTTAATCAAATATTTTTCTCACATCATGAAATCCAAATGTAGTACAACTAGAATCCAGGCAGGGTTAGGAGCCCATTATGTAGCTGTTCTAATACATTGTTTGGCAGATATAGGTAGGAATTTGGAAATTAACGATCTGTAGTGATCATTTCTTGAAGCCAGAGAGAATGACTTTTTTTTTTTTTTTGCTTTAAATTGATATACTTTAAAAATCTTTGATATGCCAGGCTCGGTGGCTCACGCTTGTAATCCCAGCACTTTGGGAGGCCGAGGCAGGTGGATCACTTGAGGTCAGGAGTTCAAGACTAGCCTGGCCAACTTGGTGAAACCCTGTCTCTACTAAAAATATAAAAATTAGCTGGGCCTGGTGGCGGGAGCTGTAATTCCAGCTACTCGGGAGGCTGAGGCAGGAGAATTGCTTGAACCCAGGAGGTGGAGATTGCAGTGAGTGGAGACTGTACCACCGCACTCCAGCCTGGGTGACAGAGTGAGACTCTGCCTCAAAAAAAAAACAACAAAAAAAAACTCTGACATGCTACGTTTACTATTCTTTGTTTTTTTCCTGTGTTGAATATATAGTTGGAGCTTAGTGACAATATAATTTCTGGAGGCTTAGAAGTCCTGGCAGAGAAATGTCCAAATCTTACCTACCTCAATCTGAGTGGAAACAAAATAAAAGATCTCAGTACAGTAGAAGCTCTGGTAAGTGGAACGGTTTTGTCTCTGGGCTTGCTTTTTCTGGTTAAATTTTCTGAGATTTGTTTGTCTTACTGATTTCTCTTTAACTCTTGAAACTTCTGAATTTTTTGTATGTTATGATCTAGGCAGTTACTGCTTTCTTTTCCTTTAGAGTAAAATATGCAGATGAGTATTTAAATCAATGAAAAATTTAATCGACAACTTTAAGGAGTTGACTATCTGATTTTAAAATTTCCAGTATTTTTTTTTACCTCTTATTCCTTTACCTTCCTTCTTGATTATTTTTTGAGTTATTTTATTATTTACCCCCTTCTTTCTTGGTATGAGGGAAGGAAAAGAAAAAGTGACACTTATTCTGATTTTGAAAAAAGACTGGAGGCTGGGCACAGTGGTTTATGTCTGTCATCCCAGCACTTTGGGAGGCAGGGGTGGGAGGATCGCTTGAGTCCAGCAGTTTGAGACCATCCTGGGCAACATAGTGAGACCCTGTCTCTACAGAAATAAAAAATTTTAAAAAATTAGCCAGGTGAGCTGGTTGTGCTTGATAATAATAGCCCTTCATTATAAAACTCTAAAAAAATACAAAAATCATTCTTAATTTCAAATATATATTTTCTGGATCATGAACTGAAAAGAAATAACGTAGCTGGGTACGGTGGCTCACGCCTGTCATCCCAGCACTTTGGGAGGCCGAGGTGGGCAGATCATGAGATCAGAAGATTGACACCATCCTGGCCAACATGGTGAAACCCCATCTCTACTGAGAATATAAAAATTAGCTGGGTGTGGTGGCATGTGCCTGTAATCCCAGCTACTCGGGAAGCTGAGGCAGGAGAATTGCTTGAATCTGGGAGGTGGAGGTTGTAGTGAGCTGAGATGGTGCCACTGAACTCCAGCCTGGTGACAGAGCTAGACTCCATCTCAAAAAAAAAAAAAAAAGAATAATATGGTATTTTAAATCTTGAATGTAAGTTTTAACTTTACTTTTCCAGCAAAATCTTAAAAATTTGAAAAGTCTTGACCTGTTTAACTGTGAGATCACAAACCTGGAAGATTATAGAGAAAGTATTTTTGAACTGCTGCAGCAAATCACATACTTAGATGGATTTGATCAGGAGGACAATGAAGCACCAGACTCTGAAGAGGAGGACGACGAGGGTAATAATTTTTAATACTCATCAGTGTGTGGTAATTGTAGCCTCTGCTCTAGCTGTGCAAATTAGATTGGGCCTGGAAATTTAGGTGTGGAAAAAAAAAACCCACAACAGGATATTAGTATGACAAGAAAAAATTAACTCATAGCTCTAGCTGGTATTTCTTCTCTTAGATTTCCTATAGTTTCAGGGATTTAGTGACTATTATAACATGAAGCTCTGTGAAATTTTATATGTGTAGAAAGTTGTACACCCAGTAAAAGTGGCAACCTCTTACATAGTATGTTTTAAAAAAAGAACCACTTATAACAGCCAAAAAGTAGAAGCAACCCAAGTGTTTATCCACTGATGAATGGATTAAGAAAATGTGGTTTATACAGTGCAATATTATTCCACCATAAATATGACTGAAGTACAGATACGTGCTACCTGAATGAACGTTCAAGATGTTCTGCTAAGTGAAAGAAGAGAGACGCAAAAGGCCACGTATTGTTTGACTTCATTTATATTGAAAGTTCGTGGGAGGCTGAGGCAGGAGCATTGCTTGAACCCAGGAGGCGGAGGTTGCAGTGAGCTGAGATCGTGCCACTGCACTCTAGCCTGGGCGACAGAGTGAGACTCTGTCTCAAAAACAAAACAAACAAAAAAATCTATATGTGATTCAGAATAGGCAGAAGGTTCAGAACAGGCAAATCTATAGAGACAGAAAGTAGATTATTGGTAGCTTGGTGCTGGCGGAGAGGAAAATGGGAGGGTGACTGCTAATGGGTATGGGATTTCTTTATGAGGTGATGAAAAATATTCTAGAATTAGATTATGAGTATACATTTTTAGATAAGTGGATGACTAACAGATCAGATGACAGAATAGCTGTTAGTAATGGGATACTGCTTGTTACTATCCAGTGAAAAGTTTTTCATTGTAAAACGAAATTTGATCGGCTGGGAGTGGTGGCTCACACCGGTAATCCTAGCACTTTGGGAGGCCAACGCAGGCGGAGCACAAGATCAGGAGATCGAGACTATCCTGGTTAACACGGTGAAACCCCGTCTCTACTAAAAGTACAAAAAATTAGCTCGGCGTGGTGGCACGCGCATGTAGTTCCAGCTACTCGGGAGGCTGAGGCAGGAGAATCACTTGGAAACAGGAGGCGGAGGTTGCAATGAGCTGAGATGGTGCCACTGTACTCCAGGCTGGGCGACAGAGTGAGACTCTGTCTCAAAAAAAAAGAAGAAAGAAATTTGATGGATAAGCAGTGTTATGAAGTGATGAAATTACTGATAAGCAGGTGTATTTTTAATATTAGATTGAGGAGGGGTACATGTGCAAATTTGTTCTGTGGGTATATTGTCTGCTGCTGAGGTTTGGTCTTCTACTGATCCTGTCACACAAATAGTGAACATGGTGCCTCATACGTCGTTCTTCAGCCATTCTCCCTCCCCTCTTTTGAAGTTTCCAGTGTCTGATCCCATCTTTATGTCCTGTGTCCCCAGTGTTTAACTCCTGCTTATAAGTGTGAACATGCAGTATTTGTTTTTTTTGTTTCTGCATTAATTCACTTAGGATAACGGCCCCCCGCTGTATCTATGTTGCTGCAAAGGACATGATTTCATTCTTTCTTTATGGCTGTGTAGTATTCCATGGTGTGTATGTTCTACTTTTTTTTTTTTTTTTTTTTTTTTTTATGAGGCGGAGTTTTGCTCTTGTTACCCAGGCTGGAGTGCAATGGCGCGATCTCGGCTCACCGCAACCTCCGCCTCCTGGGTTCAGGCAATTCTCCTGCCTCAGCCTCCTGAGTAGCTGGGATTACAGGCACGCGCCACCGTGCCCAGCTAATTTTTTGTATTTTTAGTAGAGACGGGGTTTCACCATGTTGACCGGGATGGTCTCGATCTCTTGACCTCGTTATCCACTGGCCTCGGCCTCCCAAAGTGCTGGGATTACAGGCTTGAGCCACCGCGCCCGGCCTGTTCTACATTTTTTATCCGTTCCATTGTTGAGGAGCACCTAGGTTGGTTCTGTGTCTTTGCTATTGTGCATAGTGCTCTCGTGAACATACAAGGGCACATTTTTTTTGGTCGAATGATTTACTTTCCTTTGGGTGTACACCCAGTAATGGGATTGCTGGGTCAAATGCTAGTTGTATTTTTAGTTCTTTGAGAAATTTCCAAACTGCTTTTCACAGTTGCTGAACTAATCTACATTTTGACCAACAGTATATAAGCCTCCCCTTTTCTCTGCAGCCCTTCCACCATCTCACAAGCAAGTTTTGAAGTGTAAAACAAAAGTAAAACAAACTTTAGTGCATGTAATGTTTTGATGAAAATCTATATATATGATATTGGATACCAGTATTTAGAAACCATATTTCTCACGTATGGTTTGTAGGAATAACTAGGAATGTTGCAAACAGAAATCTTAAAGAAAAAAACTATCGCTCTGAGTTACTCTCCACCTATTGGCTTAAGAGTTTGAAGTGGTTGGGCAGAGGTAAAAAGCATCAACATATGAGGGAGAAACATTTGCCCAGTCATTTACTCATCTTTAAAATATTTTTTAAAGATGGAGACGAAGATGATGAAGAGGAAGAGGAAAATGAAGCTGGTCCACCTGAAGGATATGAGGAAGAGGAGGAGGAAGAGGAAGAGGAGGATGAGGATGAGGATGAAGATGAAGGAGGTTCAGAGTTGGGAGAGGGAGAAGAGGAAGTGGGTCTCTCATACTTAATGAAAGAAGAAATTCAGGTGAATACACCCTACTTACCTGCACTGAAAATTAATTTCTAGGCATAGGGCTAAGTACTATGTAAAGTACGTTTTATAGCAATCTGAGAATTGTTTCTAGGTTGTGAGTGTGCAAATGTCTATCCACCTGTCTTTTTTCTCATTGTCCTCCATTCCAGACTACATCCAGATAATCATAAACACCTATTGATGTTACCTCCCAGATAACTTTCAAATCCGTTATAGCCTCAATGTCATGGTATGGTGGAAACATTTTACAGATGTCTGTGAACCTCAGTTTCTGCATCTATAAAACAGATTAGGCTGGGCGTGGTGGCTCACACCTGTAATCCCAGCACTTTGGGAGGCCAAGGTGGGTGGATCACTTGAGGTCAGGAGTTTGAGACCAGCCTGGCCAGCATGGGGAGGGAAACCCTGTATCTACTAAAAATACAAAAATTGGGCCGGGTGCGGTGGCTCACACCTGTAATCCCAGCATTTTGGGAGGCCGAGGCGGGTGGATCACGAGGTCAAGAGATCGAAACCATCCTGGTCAACATGGCGAAACTAAAAATACAAAAAATTAGCTGGGCATGGTGGCACGTGCCTGTAATCCCAGCTACTCGGGAGGCTGAGGCAGCAGAATTGCCTGAACCCAGGAGGCGGAAGTTGCGGTGAGCCGAGATTGTGCCATTGCACTCCAGCCTGGGTAACGAGCGAAACTCCGCCTCAAAAAAAAAACCAAAACCAAAACAAAAATTAGCCAGACATGATGGCACACACCTGTAGTCCCAGCTACTCAGGAAGCTGAGACCTGAGAATCACTTGAACCCAGGAGGTGGAGATTGCAGTGATCTGAGATCATGCCGCTGCACTCCAGCCTGGGCAATAGAGCAAGACTCTGTCTCAAAAAAGAAACAAACAAAAAACGAGGATATATCAACCTCATAGGATTAAGGATTTAACAAGATAATTGCTGGGCGTGGTGGCTCATGCCTGTAATCCCAGCACTTTGGGAGGCTGAGGTGTATGGATCACGAGGTCAGGAGATTGAGACCATCCTGGCCAACATGGTGAAACCCCATCTGTACTAAAAAGAAAAAAGAAAAAAAAAATTAGGTGGGCATGGTGTCGGTTGCCTGTAATCCCAGCTACTTGGGAGGGTGAGGCAGGAGAATTGCTTTAACCCAGGAAGTGGAGGTTGCAGTAAGCGGATATTGCACCACTCACTGCACTGCAGTCTGGAGACAGAGTGAGACTCCATCTCAGAACAAAACAAAACAAAAACAAGATCATCTATGTGTAGAATGTAGACCCTGGCACATTATAGGCACTCGGGAAACTTGTTTCCTTCTCCTAATTAACTCTCGTGTATACTTTTGTAGCAGCTTTCTAAATAGTCTCTCTGAATACAGCATCACTACTTAGGAGTATTCTCCACAGTGCTGTCTGTTCAGTCGAATGTAAATGTGATTATACACTAGCCTTGAAACCCTTGAATGTTTCCCTGTTGCCCCCAAGACATACAAGGCCCTTCATTTCTACCCTTTGCTTCCTCCTCCTTTTTTTTTTTTTTCCTGCCACAGTCTCACTCTACTGTCCAGGCTGGAATCCATTGGTACAATCTTGAGTCATTGCAACCTCTGCCTCCCAGGCTCCCTAGTAGCCGGGACTACAGGCATATGCCAACATGCCCAGCTAATTTTTCTATTTTTTTGTAGCAACAGGGTTTCACCAAGTTGGCCAGGCTGGTCTCGAACTCCTGACCTCAAGTGATCCACCCACCTCAGCCTCCCAAAGCGCTGGGATTTTAGGCGTGAGCCACCATGCCCGGCTAATTTTTTGTATTTTTAGTAGAGACAGGGTTTCACTATGTTGGCCAGGCTGGTCTCAAACTCCTGGCCTCAGGTGATCTACCCTCCTTGGCCTCCTAAAGTGCTGGGGTTATAGGAATGAGCCACTGTGCCCCACCAGAACGTTAAGTGTTGCAAGTATTCATAGAGAAAGTTAAGCTATTTGGTTTACACTAGTGTATAATTTCAACATTTTTCTCCTTTAAGTTTTTATTTGGTAAAAATAATGAATTGTATTCTTTTGCATTTGGTTTTTATTTTCTTTGCTAGTAATTCCTCTCTAAGTCTATGTAGTATTAAGTAATTTGTTTGTTTGTTTTTTGAGATGGAGTCTTGCTCTTGTTACCCAAGCTGGAGCACAATGGTATGATCTTGGCTCACTGCAACCTCTGCCTCCCAGGTTCAAGTGATTCTCCTGCGTCAGCCTCCGGAGTAGCTGGGATTACAGACGTGGGCCTCCACGCCCAGCTAATTTTGTATTTTTAGTAGAGATGAAGTTTCTCCTTGTTGGTCAGGCTGGTCTGAGACTCCTGACCTCAGGTGATCTGCCCGCCTCGGCCTCCCAAAGTGCTGGGATTACAGGCATGAGCCACTGCGTCCGGCCTAGTATTAAGTAATTTAAAAATGGCCTCAGTGGCTCACGGCTGTAATCCCAGCACATTGGGAGCCCGAGGCAGGTGGATCACCTGAGGTCAGGAGTTCAATATCAGCCTGGCAAAATGGTGAAACCCCATTTCTACTAAAAATACAAAAAATTAGCTGCGTGCAGTGGTCCATACCTGTAATCCCAACACTTTGTGAGGCCGAGGTGGGCAGATCACCTAAGGCTGGGAGTTCGAGACCAGCCTGACCAATGTGGAGAAACCCCATCGCTACTAAAAATACAAAAAATTAGCCGGACATAGTGGCACATTCCTGTAATCCCAACTACTTGGGAGGCTGAGGTAGGAGAATTGCTTGAACTCGAGAGGTGGAGCCTTGAACTTGCAGTGAGCCAAGATCCTGCCATTGCACTCCAGCCTGGGCAACAAGAGTGAAACTCCATCTCAAAAAAATAAAATTAGCCAGGCATGGTGTTGTGTGTCTGTAATCTTAGCTACCCAGGAAGCTGAGGCAGGAGAATTGCTTCAACCCGGGAGGTAGAGGTTGCAGTGAGCTGAGATTGTGCTATTGCACTCCAGCTTGGGTAACAAGAGTGACACTCCATCTCAAAAAAAAAAAAATTACCTTCAACTAACTGCAAATGTTTAGGTTTATCATTCCATTGAGTACTGGAAAATATTAACCAAAAAATGACATGGTGAAGTATAGAGCAAAAATCTCTAAGATAAAAATATGCATTTTATATATATATATAATATATGTATGTATTATATATTATATTTATATATTTAATATTTATAAAATATGTATTTTAATATATGTAAATATGTGTTTATATATATACATACATATATAGATGAATATGTATAATATACACATATGTGTATTTTATATATATATACATATATGTATATGTGTGTATATATATAAAAAACATTAAGTCATTGTAGGACTGGTAGGGACCTGTAGTTTTGATTCATGATGAGATAATTTGGATGTTTAAAATGAAGCCCTGTTTAAGGCTGGGCATGGTGGCTCACGCCTATAATCCTAGCTCTTTGGGTGGTGGAGGTGGGAGGATTGCTTGAGGCCAAGAGTTCAAGACTAACCTGGCCAACACAGCGATACCTTGTCTCTTAAAAGAAGTCTTGTTTTAGAAGGTGACGGTAGAAGCTTCAGAGACTATTGAGATTTTGAAAGACATTAGAAGGAAATAAAAAGTATATTTGATTAGCTATTTTTTTATGAGTCTTTTTATTTCTTCCTATTTCAGCTATTCTTCAGAGATAAAGAATTAATATTTATGAAAAAGGACTTTTTTTTTTTTTTGAGACAGGATTTTGCTGTTGCCCAGGCTGGAGTGCAGTGGCATCATCTGGGCTCACTCTAACCTCTGCCTCCTGCACTCAAGCAGTCCTCACACCTCAGCCTCCTTGGTACCTGAGACTACATGCATGTACCACCACACCTGGCTAATTTTTCTATTTTTTGTAGAGATGGGGGCTTCATCATGTTGCCAGGTCTGGTCTCAAACTCCTGACCTCAAGTGATCCGCTTGCCTTGGCTTCCCAGAGTGCTGGGATTACAGGCATGAGCCACTGCGCCCAGCTAAGAAGAACTTTGTGTATATATATAGTGTAGTTCATTAAAAATGGAGGTGGGGGTGGGGGTAGGCATAATGGCTTATGCCTGTAATCCCAACACTGGGAGGTTGAGGTGGGAGGATTACTTGAGGCCAGGAATTCAAGACCAACCTGGGCAACATGACAAAATCCCATCTCTATAAAAAATACAAAAATTAGCCGGGTGTGGTGGCATGGGCCTGTATTCCTAGCTACTAAGGAGGCTGAGGTGTGAGGACTGCCTCAGCCTGGGAGGTTGAGGCTACAGTAAGCTGTGATCGTATAACTGCACTTTAACCTGGGTGACAGAGTGAGACCCTGTCTCTTAAAAAAAAAAAAAAAGTCTGGGCACAGTCAGTCACACCTGTAATTGCAGCACTTTGGGAAGCCAAGGCGGGTGGATCACCTAAAGTCAGGAGTTCGAGTTCAGGTTGGCCAACATGGTGAGACCAGACCCCCATCTCTACTAAAAATACAAAAAATTAGCCAGGCATGGTGGTGCATGCCTGTAATGCCAGCTACTTGGGAGGCTGAGGCAGGAGAATCGCTTGCACCCGGAGGCAGAGGTTGCAGTGAGCTAAGATTGCACCACTGCACACCAGCCTGGGCAACAGAGTGAGACTCCGTCTCAACAAAACAAAACAAAACAAAAGGAGGTGGAGGCTTTAGGAGGATTGGGAATTATGGTTCCCTTGAACCACTTATAGCACAAATGAGATTTTATTTCCTACTAATAAAAAGAAGACTCTAGTCTGTACTGAGCAAGTGTCTAGTGAAAGCTGAGCTTACATTGAGACATATGATCTAGTGCATTTTTTTTAAATAAAGGGGGCCCAAAAACATGAATCAATTAATCATATTTTATTTAAAATAAGATTTAGAGAATAATTTGCTTTTTAAACTGGGGCTTTTCTAAATTACCAAGTAATGTGATTAATATTTTAAGTGTTTTAAAAATTATTAATATTTAAATATCCTCTTTATTTTTTTAATTTTTTAATATTTATTTATTTAGTTTTGAGATGGAATCTTGCTCTGTCACCAGGCTGGAGTACAGTGGCACAATTTTGGCTCACTGTGATCTCCGTCTCCTGGGTTCAAGCTATTCTCCTGCCTGAGCCTCCCGAGTTGCTGGAACTACAGGCGCTTGCCACCACGCCCAGCTAATTTTTGTATTTTTTTTAGTAGAGATGGGGTTTCACCATGTTGGCCAGGATGGTCTCGGTCTCTTGACCTTGTGATCTGCGTACCTTGGTCTCCCAAAGTGCAGGAATTACAGACGTGAGCCACTGCACCCGGCCTATTTTATTTTATTTTTTTGAGATGGAGTCTTGCGCTGTCGCCTGGGCTGTAGTGCAGTGGTGCGATCTCGGCTCACCGCAACCTCTGCCTCCTGGGTTTAAGCAATTCTCCTGCCTCAGCCTCCCAAGTAGCTGAAATTATAGGCATGTGCCATCACACCTGGCTAATTTTGTATGTTTAGTAGAGACGGGGTTTCTTAATGTTGGTCAAGCTGGTCTTGAACTCCTGACCTCAGGTATCTGCCCACCTCAGCCTTTCAAAGTGCTGGAATTACAGATGTGAGCCACCGCTCCTGGCCAACTGCATAATTCTTGTATCAGAAGTCAATCTTATAACTGTCAGTTGAAACATTATAAAGCATCTCCATACCTGAAAACCAGTAAGCTATAAGGAGCAAAAGGAATAGATGAGATAGCAAAGAGCATAAAAAGGTCCACAATGAAAATCAGGAAAAACTGCAGACTAAACTGAAGAAGAAAAAAAAAGTGGGGGAAAGGGGAAGATTGAATGTGGCTTTCGTTGCTGAATTTGTTCATTAAAAAAAGAAGAGGTGGGGCCAGGCCTGATGGGTCAGGCCTGTAATCCCAGAACTTTGGGAGGCGGAGACAGGTGGATCACCTGAGGTCAGGAGTTCGAGACCAGCCTGGCCAACATACATACGTGTGTGTGTGTACACATATATATTTTTAAATAGATTTTTTTTGTTTGTTTCTTTTAAAACAGTTTTTTTTTATAAATGAGATGGGAGTCTCACTATGTTGACCAGCCTGGTCTTTAGCTTTGGCCTCAAGCAGTCCTCCCATCTCGACTTCTCGAAGTGTTGGGATTAAATGTATGAACCACCACACCCAGCTGAGTCTTTTTATTTCAGCTGTTCTTCAGATGCAAGGGTTTAATATGTATAAAGAAGGACTTTATGTGTGTATAGTGTATTTAATTAAAAATGGAGGTGGGAGTGACAGTGAGACTCCTTATTAAAAAAAAATAATCATGCAGTTCAGTTTCTCATGGGCTTCTAGCTAAATGCTGGAAGAATAGATTCTGTTTAATATTTCTAGACATAAAGGGGGGTGAATACTGTGAAAAAGGAGATTTGTTCAAGTTTTTCCTAACTACAGTGGTTCTTGGCATTTTTCAGTTGTTAGAGTAGTTTTGAAGACCCGTAAACTTTTGTGGCATTGGAAAGCAGACCTAGATTGGTTTACTTTTTTTTGAGATAGAGTCTCACTTGGTCACTCAGGCTGCAATGCAGTGGCATGATCTCAGCTTCACTGCAACCTCTGCCTCCTGGGTTCAAGCAATTCTCCTGCCTCAGCCTCCCAAGTAGCTGGGACTACAGGCACGCACCAACATGCCCAGCTAATTTTTGTATTTTTAGTAGAGACAGGGTTTCACCTTGTTGACCGGGATGGTCTCGATCTCTTGACCTCGTGATCCACCTGCCTCAGCCTCCCAAAGTGCTTGGATTATAGGCGTGAGCCCGGCCCAGGATATTTTTTTCAAATGAGATGGGAGTCACCCGCTACCATGTCTGGCTAATTTTTGTATTTTTAGTAGAGATGGGGTTTCACTATGTTGGCCAGGCTGGTCTTGAACTCCTGACCTCAGGTGATCTGCCTGTCTCAGCCTTCCAAAGTGCTGGGTTTACAGGCATGAGCCACTGCTCCTGGCTGGTTCACTGTTTTTTTTCTTTTGGAGAGAGAGTCTCGCTCTGTTACCAGGTGCCAGGCTGGAGTGCAGTGGCACTACCATGGCTCACTGCAACCTCCGCCTCCCAAGTTCAAGCAGTTCTCCTGCTTCAGCTTCTCGAGTAGCTGGAATTACAGGCGCGCACCAACCACCATGCCCAGCTAATAGTTGTATTTTTTAGTAGAGACGGGGTTTCACCATGTTGGCCGGGATGGTCTCGATCCCTTGACCTCGTGATCCATCCGCCTCGGCCTCCCAAAGTGATGGGATTACAGGCATGAGCCACTGTGCTCGGCTGGTTCACTTTTTTTAAACATGTAGCACTTCATCTGTTTGGAACTCAGCCATTTGGAACATAGCCAAGAGCAAGACAGTGAGTACAAAAGGCCTCTGAGCTGCCAATATAAGTAACAAAAGCTATCTTACTTGTAGGAGAATGTTCAAGTTCAACCTTTTCTAAAAAATATTCAATTCTCTGTTGATCTTTTTTCTGATTCTATAATTGAAATAGTAACTGGTGGTAAAAGAGAAGGCAAAACACTAGGAAAAGAAACAACTCAAAATGGAGGCCATAGTCTTTAAAAAGAATAGAACTGTCCTGCATATATGAATATGCTCTGAGGGAATCAGCATATGTTAATGTTAGAATGTTCATGATCAAAGTGAGGACCATGATTCAAGAAAAAGTTTCCGCATAAAATGGTAGAAGAGTATACGGTGCGTTTTAGAGATGTATATTCCAACTGGCAAGAGTTTAAAGTGCTTATGATGCTTCCAGGCAATGTTTAAATCTTAGCTTTCTAGAACAATCTGTTTCATAAGAGTTGCAGATCAAGGTTTATCATGATTTTTAATTGACATTTGCTATTTTGTTGTGCAGACTTTTAGATGTGTAAGAAATTTATTATAGGTTTTTCTAGATGAATACTTTTATGGATTGGAAAACTGAGGTCCATAGAGATAGAGACTTGTTCAACACATAGATAGATAAAGTTAATACTCAACATTTATAACTAAATTGAGGCTGGGATTCAGATTATTACTACTTTGGTCTGTAAAATAGAAGATCTTGTTTTTAAAATAGTCAAAAGTTGCTCTGTCCATTGTGGTAGCTAGTAGACATATGTGGCTATTTAAATTGATTAAAATTAAATAAAATAAAAATTTCAGTTTCTCATTTGCATTGGTTACATTTCAGATGCTCAGTAGCTAAGTGTGGCTATTGCTACTGTATTCCCGAGTAGCTGGGATTACAGGCACGCGCCACCATGCCCAGCTAATTTTTTGTATTTTTAGTTGAGACGGGGTTTCACCATCTTGACCAGGATGGTCTCGATCTCTTGACCTCGTGATTCACCCGCCGCGGCCTCCCAAAGTGCCGGGATTATAGGCGTGAGCCACCGTGCCCAGCCTCCAGTTTCTTTATGAAAATAAGTAATGCTTTAAACTAGCATTCTTCAAGAGAATCACTTGAACCCAGGAGTCGGAGGTTGCAGCGAGCCGAGATCGTGCCATTGCACTCCAGCCTGGGTAGAGAAACTCTGTCTCAAAAAAAAAAAGAAACTGGAGACACAAAAAATGCTGTATTCCCCATTTATACTGTGATTACTATACCTTTTGTGCCTGTATCAAAATATCTCATATACCCCATAAATACGTATACCTACTATCTACCCATAAAAATTAAACATTAAAAAAAAAGAAGAAGAAGACTTGGCCTGGCATGGTGGCTCATGCCTGTAATCCTAGCACTTTGGGAGCCAAGGCAGGCGGATCACCTGAGATAAGGAGTTCAAGACCAGCCTGGCCAACATGGTGAAACCCTGTCTCTACTAAAAATACAAAAATTAGACAGGTGTGGTGACTCACACCTGTAATCCCAGCTACTTAGGAGGCTGAGGCAGGAGAATTGCTAGAACCTGGGAGGCAGAGGCTATAGGGCTGCAGTGGGTAAGCCCAGATCACGACACTATACGCCAGCTTGGGTGACAGAGTGAGACTCCGCTCAAAAAAAAAAAAAAAAAGGAAGCCTAGGGGAAAAAGCTATAGTTGAAAGACATTAAAAGAAGAAGAAAAAAAAAAAACCTGGAGATTTAGTTAGGTTTGTAAAAAGACCTTTATAAGAATGGCAGAGGTTGGCCGGGCGTGGTGGCTCACGCCTATAATCCTAGCACTTTGGGAGGCCCAGGTGGGTGGATCACCTGAGGTCATGTTTTGCCATGTTGGCCAGGGTGGCCTTGAACTCCTGGCCTCAAGATCAACCTGGCCATCATGGTGAAACCCCATCTATATTTTTAAAAAAAATTTAAAAAATAAATAAAACAAAAAGAATGGCAGAGGTTGTCAAAAGACAGAATAACCATAGTTTATTTGCTCTTACTGGAATCTATTACAAGAGTGAAAAATCTGTTATGATTTTTTAATTCTCAAACTGAATATTTGAATTTCAAGGATGAAGAAGATGATGATGACTATGTTGAAGAGGGAGAAGAAGAGGAAGAAGAAGGTGAGTTACATTCGCCATAAACAAATTCTAAAGTTAAAGACATAGTTATTTTTTTATTTTTATTTGTTTTTTTGAGACGGAGTTTCGCTCTTGTTACCCAGGCTGGAGTGCAATGGCGCGATCTCGGCTCACCGCAACCTCCGCCTCCTGGGTTCAGGCAATTCTCCTGCCTCAGCCTCCTGAGTAGCTGGGATTACAGGCACACGCCACCGTGCCCAGCTAACTTTTTTTTTTTGTATTTTTAGTAGAGACAGGTTTCACCATGTTGACCAGGATGGTCTCGATCTCTTGATCTCATGATCCAGCCACTTTGGCCTCCCAAAGTGCTGGGATTACAGGCTTGAGCCACCGTGCCCGGCCTCTTTTTTTTGCTTGAAATGCAGTGGTGCAATCTCCACTGACTGCAACCTCCACCTCCTGGGTTCAAGTGATTCTCTTGCCTCAGCTTCCCAAGTAGCGGGGATTATAGGTGCCTGCCACCATTCCTGGCTGATTTTTTTTTTTTTTTTTTGTATTTTTAGTAGAGATGGGGTTTTGCCATGTTGGCCAGGGTGGTCTTGAACTCCTGGCCTCAAGTGATCCACCCACCTCAGTCTTTCAAAGTGCTGGGATTACTAGTGTGAGCCACTGTGCCCAGCCTTTTTTTTTTTTTTTTTTTTTTAAATCTGAAACAGGGTTTCACTCTTTTGCCCAGGCTGGAGTGCACAGCTCACTGCAGCCTCAGTCTCCTTGGGCTCAGGTGATTCCCCCGCCAATCTCAGCCTCCCAAGTAGCTGGGACTATAGGGACACACCGTCACACCCCACTAATTTTTTTTTTTTTTTTTTTGTGGAGATGGAGTTTGCCATATTGCCCAGGCTGTCTTGAACTCTGGGTTCAAGCAAGCTGCCCACCCTGGGCTCCCAAAGTGCTCGGATTATAGATGTGAGTCACTATGGCCAACCAATATTTTTATTTTCTTTTACTGTTTTGAGACGGGTCTCTGTCAGCAGTGAGTGCAGTGGGGCATTCATAGCTCACTGCAGCCTCGACCTCTAAGGCTTAAGCTATCCTCCCCGCTCAGCCTCTTCCAAAGTAGGTGAGACTACAGATGTGCACCACTACACCTTGCTAATATTTTTATTTATTGTATAGATGGGGTCTTGCTGTTGCCCAGGCTGGTCTTGACATCCTGGGCCCGACCGATCCTCCTGCCTTGGCCTCCCAAAGTGCTTAGATTATAGATGTGAGCCACTGCACCCAGCCTCAAAATAATCTTTTTTTTTTTGAGACAGAGTCTCGCTGTGTCATTCAGGTTGGAGTACAGTGCCATGATCCCCACTCGCTGCAGCCTCGGCCTGCTGGGTTCAAGCGATTCTCCTGCCTCAGCCTCACGAGTAGCTGGGATTACAGGCGCATGCCACGATGTCGTTTTAATTTTTTGTATTTTTAGTAGAGACGGGTTTCAGTATGTTAGCGAGGATGGTCTTGATCTTCTGACCTTGTGATCTGCTCACCTCGGCCTCCCAGTGTAGGGATTACAGGCATGAGCCACTGTGCCCAGCTGAGCCTCAAAATAATTTTTAAAGTTTACTAACAATTGCATTGATGTCAAGCCCCTAGTTTCTTAATCTGTACTTCATGATATGGCCACAAGGGTGCATAGCAAACTGTGATTATTTATGGATTTCTAAGTCTGTTTTCAACCTACTCAAATTTAAAAAAATTCAGAGAGGAAACGAAGTATAATTTCCTTCCTTCCTTTCTTCCTTCCTTCCTTCCTTCCTTCCTTCCTTCCTTCCTTCCTTCCTTCCTTCCTTCCTTCCTTCCTCCTCTTCCTTCCTTCCTTCCTTCCTTCCTTCCTTCCTTCCTTCCTTCCTTCCTTCCTTCCTTCCTTCCTTCCTCCTCCCCTTCCTTCCTTCCTTCCTTCCTTCCTTCCTTCCTTCCTTCCTTCCTTCCTCCCTCCCTCCCTCCCTCCCTCCCTCCCTCCCTCCCTTGGTCCATTCCTCCTATCCTCCTTCTCTCTTTTGAGACAGTCTCTTTTTGTCACCCATTCTGGAGTGCAGTGGCACAATCTTGGTTCACTGCAACCTCTGCCTCCTGGGTTCAAGCGATTCTCTTGCCCCAGCCTCTTAAGTAGTTGGGACTACTGGCGCCTGCCGCCAAACCCAGCTAATTTTTGTAGAGATGGGGTTTTCACCCTGTTGGCTGGCCTGGTCTCCAACTCCTGACCTCAAGTGATCTGCCCGCTTTGGCCTCCCAAAGTGCTGGGATTACAGGCGTGAGCCACTGCACCTGGCCAGTTTTCTTCTGCCATTAACTTCATTATTTTTTTTTTTTGAGACAGTTTTGCTCTGTTTCTCAGGCTGGAGTGCAGTGGCACGATCTTGGCTCACTGCAACCTCTGCCTACCGCTTCCTGAGTTCAAGTAATTCTCCTGCCTCTGTCTCTCGAGTAGCTGGGATTACAGGCACGCACCACCACACCCAGCTAATTTTTTGTATTTTCAGTAGAGATGGGGTTTCACCTTGTTGGCCAGGGCTCAAGTGATCTGCCTGCCTGGCCTCTCAAAGTGCTGGGATTACAGGTGTGAGCCACCTCGCTAGGCCCTGCCATTAACTTTTCACTAAGATTCAAAACTTTGTAATGGAACCAATGCTCATTTGTTAAAATTAAGCCTTTTACATTTTTCCTTCCACTGTTTTAGAAGAAGAAAGTCTTCGAGGGGAGAAGAGGAAACGAGATGCTGAAGATGATGGAGAGGAAGAAGACGACTAGATCATTCTAAGACCAGATTCTCTAATGTTTCTGGGTGTGCAATAGAGTGATCACGTCTTTGTTTCTTCATGTACGATAGCTATCCCTACAGAAGATAATGTGTAACTTTTTATAGGAAAAGTGTGGTTTTACTATTTTTGCCTTATCATTCCAAATAAGAGCTAGTCTGTTAATGATCATATTGTATGTAGAGAAAAATTTTCATTAAGTACCATTGTGGAATTCCCTAGCAATTTATTTAGACTCTTCATTTTTAAAATTCAAGCTTACTGTATTAGGCATTTTTAGCTCATAATTAAAACATGATCACTTTTACACAGGTGTAGTTTGAGGCGTTTCATTCCTTATTTATAAATTAACTGAAATGACAGTTTGCTGTAATATGAAATGACAATAGTCTCTTGAGTGGTAAGTTGGTTATTTTTTTAGAGGTGATCCAGGGATCTTTAGTTGAAGGCAGTTACCTTTTTTTTGAGTAAGAGTGTTTGGTTGCTTTTTTGTCGCAAGTAACTTGGAAGTAGAAGCAGAATAGTAAAGGTTCTATTCAGCGACATAGTTCACAGGTTTTGTGGAGGTTCTATTCAGTAACATAGTTCATGGATTTAGTGGTGACTGATAATTCCATCTTTGAAGGACTGATTTTATCTTTGAAGGAAAAATCGCTTATACTAAGTCCAGAGACATGCAGATGAGCCCTTTCATCAGGCTGCCAATCATGACATGCCGATGGCGGTTTATTTTGTTTTGTTTTAGGTGTGCATTCTTTTTCTTCTCAGCAATTTCTTTATAATCACCTCCCCTTCTTGTTTCGCTTCCCTCCTGCTCTCTCAAAAGGAAGTTGGGAAACTTGTGAATACCCAGGAAAACCTTTTGTCTTATACCTCAACTACCTTTCAGTCCTGTCTGGGTTTATATAAGTGAAGTGAAAGAAATTGACTATTTTCTGACCTAAGAATATATTATCAATACAGTTTTATGCAGTTAGCTCTGCTTACCATAAATGTTTCTTGGTCGACAACATCTAAGATTCTATTAGCAGGATGAAGAAAGAAAAGCAGGGGGTGGTTTTGGAAGCAGTATTAGTGTTCCCCAAACTCAGAACAATTGCCGGGTGATAAGACGTTAAAGTCAAATTTTAAAGTTGGCTTCTCACATGTTTTGAATACCACTCTGCAAAGTAGTCCTAATTTTTCTGAGTAGAACCTTTAATTCCTACAGTTTTAAAGCATTACCAGATAAAAGAATAGCATTTAATTGGAATATACTAAGCAGTTGAAAAATATTTAAAACTAAATTGACATTAAAATTAAGATTTGTTTTCAAGCGTATGTCCATTAAAAGTAGAAAAATATTTGGGATGTGAGTGTGTGTTTTCTTACATGGCTGCTAAATAAAACATAACGAATAGACAAGTGTATCTCCCCCTTTGCTATGGCGGCTCAGTGTTCAAGGCAATGGCTTTTTAAACCTTGACTATCTAAATTTTTCCCTTTGTTTTGAATATTTGTCAGTTTTTAAAAAGTTCATGTTGGCAGATTGATTGAAGTTATGCTTCTGTACCTGGGACCCGTTTAAATACTGCGTATAGTACTGCTGCTACTGCTTCTACTGTATAAACGTGTGACTTGATGTTTAAACATAAAAATTATGATGTTACTTGTGGAGAAACTACAAAAGTTTCTGACTTTTGTAAACTGACTGAAGTAAAACCCTTGGAGTAAGTGCAGTGAGGGGATTGGAATCTCCAAAATACTAACGTTTTTCTTCTGCTTTTAAAAATTTAAATGCCCTGTTAGTTCCTAACACTTCTCATTACATACTATGCCAGATTACAAAAATACTTATTTTTAAAATGAAATCTATATATTGACTTTCTTATCAATCATCTTACTGTGCAATCAAAATTAAGAGTACTTTGGTTTGAAAACAACAATTAGAGCCTCCAGGTAACTTTTAAGACTTACTTAGCTTTGTGGGTGGTATTTTCATGCAAATAAGTAAGGGTGGGTTTTATATTTTGTAGAAGTTTTCGGTCCTATTTTAATGCTCTTTGTATGGCAGGATGTATATAGTGTGTTAAGTTCCTCAAGAATCTCCTTTAAAACTTTGAAGTTAATACTTTTGTGCAACTGTGTTTTGAATAAAGCCATCACAGTGTTAAGAACAAACAGAAAAAATTGCAGTACTCCTGATTTTTATTGTTTCTGACCGTTCCCTGTTTTTTTCTGTGACTGCTGTAACTTAAAGTTTTTGAAACTGAATTGCTTCAAATAAATTGAAGATTTGTTATAATGATTAGTTTCAGTGTATAACATTCACTTTTTCAACAATACCATTGGTGGCTTTGAAGGTCTTTTTTAAAAACCAGCAGCTCGAAAGTTAACTGATTTAAATACTTGGATGTGATATAAGCATTACGATTTAATAGTTTAACTCATCATTTTTATTTCCTTCTTTTCTAAAAGGCAGAAAAAAAGTCTGGATTCTCTTAATTTTCCTTTTGGGGTTGCAAATTGAGCCAGTGCTTCTGCAGTTTGATTTGAAGTAATAAGTTTATTACCTATACTTGTATTATCTGTGGTTTATTAAAGCGATTATAAGACTATTGTGATATACAATAGTGTGATAGTTTCTTTTTCTAAAATGAATCTGAAGTTCTCCATTTATACTGTATGTTTATGTTCTGAATCTTGATAATATAAATACAAATATACTTAATACTTAAATGTTTACCTTGAGCAAAAAAACTTGAAACAGCATGTTTTTTCTGCTCTCTTTTTTTTCGGTTTCCCTGTGGTAAGTGATTTTTAAAATGGTCATATGTAGACAACTGGAATTTTATAAAGGTGAGGCACAAGTATAATTAGTAATGTTTTCATGATTCTTTACAGTTTAATAGCGAAAAGGTATTGAGGGAACCTCAGTGGCTCTGGCCAGTTGTCCTGGCGCTTGAGGAGGCGAGGCTATGAGTTCAATGCCAACCTGAGCAACATAAGAAGCTCTCATTGATTAACAAAAAAGAAAAGATATTCAGGCCTGGCTCTGTGGCTCACGCCTATAATTCCTACATTTTGGGAGGCCGAGGTGGATGGATCGTGAGGTCAGGAGTTCGAGACCAGTCTGACCAATGTGATGAGACCTCATCTCTACAAAATTAGCAGGGTGTGGTGGTGCACACTTGTAATCCCAGCTACTCAGGAGGCTGAGGCTTGAGAATCCACTGGAATCTCGGAGGTGGAGGTTGCAGTGAGCCAAGATTGTGCCACTGCACTCCATCCTGGGAGACAGGTGAGACTCCGTCTCAGAAAAAAAATACTGAAAAGATACTTTAATTATTGAACTCTGCTTCCTGAGAGATGGGAAATACTGAAGTATTGTTGACTGAAATTAATTTTTTTTGCATGTTTTATATCTAAAAAATTCAAAACCGTTCACCTCTTGGTTACAGAACACGGTAGAACCACACACATTTTAATGAAGCAATTCAGTGAGAGATCGTGATTGAAAACATTTTTCAGTATAGTTTGTTCTATATTTTAAAGAGAGGCTTTGGATTGTGACATGCTTTCAGTTGCTGAGAGTTTCCCCTCTCTTGTTTCTAGTACTGGATGCAATGATATTCTGCAGCTGTTGCTTAATTATAGAATTCTACTACTGCATGTCTTTTTCATGTACTAATTCAGCCTAAGACTTGAGAATCTGGCCTGGGTACTTCATCTGAGGCAGTTATTTGTGTTACAAACCCTAACTTGAAGGGGAATGGTTACACCACAAAATGGAAATTAAAAATGAGTTGATAGCCAGGGAATTTTTTTTTTTTTTTTTTTTGAGACTAGTCTTGCTCTGTTGCCCAGGCTGGAGTGCAGTGGCGTGATCTTGGCTCACTGCAACCTCTGCCTCCTCGGTTCAAGGGATTCTCTTGCCTCAGCCTCCCGAGTAGCTGGGATTACAGGCAGGAGCCACCATGCCCCGCTCGACCATATATATATATATATATATATATATATATATATTTTTTTTTTTTTTTTAGTAGAGATGGAGTTTCACTGTGTTGCCTAGGCTGGCCTTGAACTCCTTTCCTGAAGTGACCTGCCCACCTTGGTCTCCCAAAGTGCTGGGATTACAGGCGTGAGCCACTGCACCCAACCTAAAATACATGATTTCCTAAAAATCTAGTCACATTAGGGCCGGGCGCGGTGGCTCACGCCTATAATCCCAGAACTTTGGGGGGCCGAGGCGGGTGGATCACGAGGTCAAGAGATCGAGACCATCCTGGTCAACAAGGTGAAACCCTGTCTCTACTAAAAATACAAAAATTCGCTGGGCATGGTGGTGCGCGCCTGTAGTCCCAGCTACTCGGGAGGCTGAGGCAGGAGAATTGCTTGAGCCCAGCAGGCAGAGGTTGCGGTGAGCCGAGATGGTGCCATTGCACTCCAGTCTGGGTAACAATAGTGAAACTCCGTCTCAAAAAAAAAAAAAAATCTAGTCACATTTTTGGGTAGTAAGACCCTGAAGTCGGGTTATCCCATAATACTGCACCAGGGCTGGGTGCGGTGATCCTAGCACTTTGGGAGGCTGAGGCAAGCAGATTTCCTGAAGTTAGGAGTTCCAGAACAGCCTGGCCAAAATGGCGAAACTCCATCTGTACTAAAAATATAAAAATTAGCCAGGGGTGGTAGCACTCACCTGTAATCCCAGGTACTCCGGAGGCTGAGGCGGGAGAATCTTTTCAACCTGGGGGGCAGAGGTTGCAGTTGAATAAGACCATGCCACTGCACTTCAGCCTGGGCAACAGAGCAAGACTCTGTCTCAAACAAACAAGTAAGTAAATAAATAAAAACCCCTAAACCCGGATTAATAAAGAATCAGAAGCAGGTATGACCTTTTCTACTTCACGAATGTTTACAAATATTTCAAATTTTTGTTGATTTTTGTTTGGACTTGGTCACTTATGGACACATCCATGTTGATGGTTAATACTGACACAAGCCACCAAATAGGCACACAGGTGAAAACCACCTGTTCTAGCGTCAAGAAGTAACTCTGACACTGGAAGCACTTGCCTATTTTCTCTGATTTTCTATTATCTTAAAAAAATGAAAAAATAATTTATGGCGGCATATTGATTATTTTCTATTAAATAAACTGCACCATCTTGCAGATGATGAAGGCTACGATCTCTTTTCCACTTTGGTTGTGACTTTTCCCGGTTGGAGTCACTCCCCAGAGTTAGCTCACAGGGGCTACTGGAAGGATTTTCTCCCAGAGTCCATTCCTCTGGGCACTGAGTAGACACCAGGAGCGTAGTCAGTGGCTTTCAAAGCCATTTGTTTTAGTTTTTGTTTTTATTATCATTTTTTGAGACGGGGTTTCGCTCTTGTTGCCCAGGCTGGAGTGCAATGGCGTGATCTCGGCTCACCGCAACCTCTGCCTCCTGGGTTCAGCCAATTCTCCTGCCTCAGCCTCCTAAGTAGCTGGGATTACAGGCATGCGCCACCACGCCTGGCGAATTTTGTATTTTTAGTAGAGACCGGGCTTTCTCCATGTTGGTTAGGTTGGTCTCGAACTACTGACCTCGGGTGATCCACCCGCCTCGGCCTCCCAAGGTGCTAGGATTACAGGCGTGAGCCACCGTTCCTGGCCCAAAGCCATTTATATAGAGAGCTGTGCCTAAGGAATTCTGGGGACCGGAGAAGAATCTTTAAGTGTAATGGAAGGAACTGCAGTTGAAACTACTAAAGAACTAATGACAGCAGCAGCAGCGGAAACCAAGGGAAGCAGCCGTCACTGTCACTGCAAGTCTGCAGCGAAGCTCCTGCGAGTCCAGCGCTTTGAGCTATGTTGCACTCTGCTCCACCACAGGCCACTTTTGTGAGAATGTGCTGAGTTAAGAACAAGCCCATTTCTGTAGTGTAGGATTTATCTGTGGGAAATTAGTTAAATCTTTCTGGAAAGGATTACGGGTGAGAAATTTTTTCAGTAAATTGGACAGTTTTACTAAGACGTATTTTTACCAAGCCATGCATATTGCGATATGTGACAGGAACCATTGCCAAGCTTCCTGGGCTATAGCAGTCAGTACGTGAAGGATTATCGATCTAGAACTCAGCCTCATCCATTTTGCTTTTTTACCCAGTTCTCTTATTTCAGGGAAATGAGGAAAGGACTCCATTTTGAAGATTAAATATCTCTAAGCCCTGTTTCCCCTCACGCACCACTGGGTTGGACCAACCACGTTATCTCAGCATCACTACTTAGATTTTTGATAGGCTTGAATAGACAGATTGGGAGATTTTCAATGCTTAAATTGACGAAGTGACCTTTGCGGGTACGTTTAGAGGTACGTTATCTGTCAGAGTCCCAGGGGATGCTTGCTTCTTTAAATTTTTTCATCTTTATTTCTCCAATACTCAACCCCTGAAATACAGATAAAACAGCTTCTCTTCCTTTTTGGGGGTAGTGCTATTTTTACAACAGGGCGCCCTCCAGCGATTCTGGAGTCTCAAGCAATAGAATAGAATTCTATCGTCTTGGGGAGAGAGCAACAGGACTTTAATGTTATTTTAGTTGATGGAGGCAAAAAATAAAAAGTGTTGATCACTTTAGAGTGTGTCCCTAATGTGATTCCTGGAACGCAGGCAAAAATTTCTTCCAAGACGAATTTTTAGATTCAAGAGCAGAGTCGAAAAGTCAGGAGCAAAAGAGGAGGTCAAGGCTCGGAAAGGACCCGGGCTACCCTATTGCTCTACAAGGGCGCTTTCCGAAACCGTCTCGGATTGGGCCAGAAATGCCGCAACCCCGGTCACGTGATCCCGCCCCACGTGATCTGGATAACCTAGGGCGGGCGCGCACCCACCAGAACGGTCACAGTCAGAGATCTGCGCATGCGCGGGACGCTGGAGGCTCGTGGAAAGCGTTCTGGATCCTACTTCCGCGTCGCTTCCTCTGGGCAGGTCCATCTTATTTGATCAGAAACTCGTGGGTCGGGTCCTTAGGGCCTTCCTTTTCTTTACTGTCTTTTCCATTTTGCAATCCTTGTTAACGATTAACTAAGCTTTTGTTTTCTTGATTTTTTTTTGAAACGGAGTCTTACTCTGTCACCCAGCTGGAGTGCAGTAGCGCGATCTCGGCTCTCTGCAACCTCCACCGCCCGGACTCAAGCGATTCTCCTGCCTCAGCCTCCCGAGTAGCTGGGACTACAGGCGCGCGCCACCACACCCGGCTATTTTTTTTTCTTTTGTATTTTAGTGGAGACAGGGTTTCGCCATGTTGACCAGGGTGGTCTTAATCTCCTGACCTCGTGATCCGCCCGCCTCTGCCTCCCAAAGTGCTAGGATTATAGCCTTGAGCCACCACATTCGGCTTTTTTTTTTTTTTTTTTTTACTACAGATGGAGCCTTGCTCTGTTGCCCAGGTTGATCTGGAACTCTTGGGCTTAAGCGATCCTCCCTTCTTGGCCTCCCAAAATGCTGGGATTCGAGGTGTGAGCCACTGTCCCTGGCCTTATTTTCTAATTTTATTTCAAATCTTGCGTAATTCTAAACCCCACATTGACGAATATCGTCCACCTGCTCAGCAGCTATAAATGGTGGAGTTATGTATGTTTTCATAAGGTGGAAATGAGGGCGAGTACGAACGTGGTTTATCAAGTGCTGCGTTTGGAGCTGAGGCCACTTTTGCTTCTGACACTTGTTTGTGCGCAGTCTAGCTCAAGTGCCCACTTGGGTGACCTCTGTTTAGTTAAATTCTTGTCACCAGGGGCAAGCCTACTGTTCCACGTTGTTCCTATTACTAGTATTTTTCTTTTATTTTAAGGCCAGAATTGCTGCATTAAACGGTCAAGTTGGTACCTAAGAATGAATCAATTCTGGAAAATACTGGAGCAACCAATTTACCCAGAGGGAAACAGTTTAAAAATGACATGCGGCCCATGTGTACAGTGATTAAGAGCTCTCGGGTATATATGTGTACTACCTTTCCTCTCTCTTCGAAGGAAAGAATGGTTCAATTGAGGGAAATTTTGTAAAGATCACTGTGTGAGATTATTAACATTTTTCTTATTTTAATTAGGACAACTGAATTATAGTTTGTTAGAAGTGTCTCAAATTATTGAAGAAAAATTGTCATCAAATTATACTTTTTTTTTTTTTTTTTTTGAGACGAAGTCTTGCTCTGTCGCCAGGCTGGAGTGCAGTGGCTCTTGGCTCACTCCGACCTGTTCCTCCCAGGTTGAAGTGGATTGTCCTGTCTCAGCCTCCCGAGTAACTGGGACTACTGGTGCTTGTCACCACATGGTGAAACCCCGTCTCTACTACAAATAAAAAATTATACGTTTTATTGGAATCAGCCACCTTTCAGAGAATAGTTGCCTCAGTTTGTCCTGTGCAACTGAAAGGTGTCTAAAGCTATGGAAGGAGAAGAAAATAATTAAATTTGAATTCTTGTATACGCAATTTTTATTAAAATGTCAAAGGACAGTTACATGTTTCTATAGCATTAATATATATGCCTTATCTTTCTGTCTATCTATATCTATCTATCTATCTATCTATCTATCTATCTATCTATCTATCTAGACAGAGAAAGAGAGGCAGACAAACAGACAGACAGGGTCTGTTGCCCAAGCTGGAGAGCAGTGGCTCTTCACAGTCTCGATCCTGCTACTGATCAGCACGCGAGTTCTGACCTGCTCCATTTCCAACCTGGGCCAGTTCACTCCTCCCTTAGGCAACTTGGTGGTCCTCTGTTCCCAAGAGGTCACCATATTGATGCTGAACTTAGCACAGACACACGATCAGAATAGCACACTGTATCCCAGAACTCCTGGGCTCAAGCCATCCTCCTGCTTCAGCCCCCTGAGTAGCTGGGACTACAGGCACGGGCCACCACACCCAGCAAAATTAGCAAATATTTAACTGCAGTAAAACTAATGCCAATAGTTTCTCAGACATTTTCATTGGCTTTTACAAAGCCACAAAATTGGGTAAAATTAGGGCCATTTTACTTTATTTAAAAATAAGAGGCCAGGCACGGTGGCTCACCCCTGTAATCTCAGCACTTTGGGAGGCTGAGGCGAGTGGATCATTAGGTCAAGAGTTCGAGACCAGCCTGGCCAATATGGTGAAACCCTGTCTCTACTAAAAAATACAAAAATTAGCCAGGCATGGTGGTATATGCCTGTCTTCTAGTCCTAGCTACTCAGGAGGCTGAGGCAGGAGAATCACTTGAACTGGGGAGGTGAAGGTTGCAGCGAGCCAAGATTGCGCCACTGCACTCCAGCCAGGGCAACAGAGAGAGACTCTGTCTCAAAAAATAAAAAAAGAGATGAGAATATTCTTGGATTTTAAGAAGCCAGGATTTTCTAGTGGGTAATAGCATTTCTCAGAAAAGACTTTTCCTTTTGACAGACTAAATATTTAGCAGAAATTTTTTTCTTCTTATATTGAGGAATTGTATTTTCAGCATTGTTTTGATGCTGCCACAATATTTTTAAAAAAATTATTAGCAGAGGAAGATAATGTGAATTTGTTGTTTACACCCATAGGACATTGAGGAGCTGCTTGCTGAGAGAGGAGTTACTGCCATCTGGTCTTTGCTATGAGGCCAAAGATTACACCCATCCCACAATGAACCTACTTTTCTTTTTGTGTCATCTATTTTCCTTTCCACTGCTGTTCTATATCAGCCTTGAGGTTGCTATTGGAATTGAGGGACAAATAACAGGTCATATAATGTAGGCCATCACATAATGATGAAATATCAATTCTGTGGTCTGTCTCTAAGGCTCTGTCCTTAATAATAAAATACGGTGTACTGTAATGGTATCAAGCTCCCACTCCATATTATTAGGTTATTAGCTATTAATTAGATATCACTTGCCATTTTTATTTTACATAACTGTAAATAACTGCTGTCTTTCAGGTCTTTATGTGCTCAATTTTATAAGCAGTTTGCAATTAACATATTAAAAAATCATGGGGAATTATATACAAATCCTTTTCAAGGCAAGCAGTCTTATAGCTATGATCAAAGGCATAAAATGTAAGAATGTTTATTTAACAAGCTTTTAAAAAACCTTTGCTTAAGGAACATAAGTGACAGGAAAACAAAGATGAATGATACCAACTCTATCCCTTGAAAAACATCGCCTAAACCCAAGATTATAAACCAAGAGCAAAACTGCAGGCCCAGAAATGTCTGAGTTGACAGCTTGTGCCCAGAAAGCTCAGAAGATGCCAAAGTTTTGATTTGCTCACTTCAGTGAAGGCCTGATCCTTCATTTTGTAGGGCTATGGAAGGAGAAGATTTATTTGATTTTGTAAATAGAAAATCGATCAATTTGTGAGTGACAGACTTGTGCCATGAAAATTCACCAAAGTCAGATTTCTAAACCAAGGTGTCAATTTGTTAATTTACAGGGAGATTGTATATTTACATTGACCATAGTATAATTATTCAGAGTTCTAAATCTGTGCTCTTTAATAGAAATGTAATTCTGTCAAAAATGCAAGTCGGTGGGGCGCGGGGGCTCACACCTATAATCCCAGCACTTTGGGAGGCTGAGGCAGGTGGATCACCTGAGATCAGGAGTTGAGACCAGCCTGGCCAACATGGCGAAACCCCGTCTCTACTAAAAATACAAAAATTAGCCAGGGTGATGGAATCCCAGCTACCTGGGTGGCTGAGGCACAAGAATCGCTTGAACCTGAGAGGTGGAGATCGAAGTGAGCCAAGATGGCACCACTGCACTCCAGCCTGGGTGACAGTGAGACTCTGTTTAAAAAAATAAAAATAAATAAAATAAAAATTCAAGTCACAGATATATTTAGAATTTTCTAGTAGTCATATTTAAAAACCTAGAAACAGGTACAATTAATTTAAATATATTTTAATTAACCCGATATATTCAAAAGATTATACTTTCAACATGAAATCAACATAAGAAATTGTTAGATTTTTTTTGTATATTTTTTTCATACAAAGGCTTCCAAATCTGGGATTAATTTTATGCTTACAGTTCATCTCTATTTGGATTAGCCACTTTTCTATTTTTTTTTTTAAACAGTTTTATTTAGTTGCTTTCTTCTACTTCTTTTTATTTTTATAAAGATGGGGTCTCACCATGTTGCCCAGGCTGGTCTCAAACTTCTGGGCTCACGTGATCCTCCCTCCTTGGCCTCCTAAAGTGCTGGGATTACGGTCGTGAGCACTGTGCCCAGTCTGGATTTCAAGTGCAGTAGTCATGTGGCCAGGTGGTCTAATGTATCCCTTCTGGGAAAGGCAACTGAGAGGCCAAGTGCGTAATGAGAATCCTCTCAGGTGAGCCTAGAAGCAGAGGAGAGGGTGCTAGATGGTCTTTTGGGATATTTTATGTACTTGACAAGTATGAGGAACCTACCCTGATCCATACTAGAGTATTCTTTTTTGTTTTTTTTTTGAGATGGAGTTTCGCTCTTGTTACCCAGGCTGGAGTGCAATGGCGCGATCTCGGCTCACCGCAACCTCTGCCTCCTGGGTTCAGGCAATTCTCCTGCCTCAGCCTCCTGAGTAGCTGGGATTACAGGCACGCGCCACCATGCCCAGCTAATTTTTTGTATTTTTAGTAGAGACGGGGTTTCACCATGGTGACCAGGATGGTCTCGATCTCTTGACCTCGTGATCCACCCGCCTTGGCCTCCCAAAGTGCTGGGATTACAAGCTTGAGCCACGGTGCCCGGCCCTAGAGTATTCTTTCTAGAGGTTTTAGTATTTGTTGTGTTTAGCTTGTCTCACGTCGGCAGCAGTACATTCAGCACTACTAGACTAATGCTGCCAAATTCTTCCTTCCTTTGATTCTATGTAAATTACTTTCTTCTATTAACATACTTTTTTTTTTTTTTTTTTTGAGTCAGAGTGTCACTTTGTTGCCCAGGCTGGAGTGCAATGGTGCCATCTCGGCTCACTGCAACTTCTGCCTTTTGGGTTCAAGCAATTCTTGTGCCTCAGCCACCCGGGTAGCTGGGATTCCACCACCCTGGCTAATTTTTGTATTTTTAGTAGAGATCTGGTTTCGCCATGTTGGCCAGGCTGATGACGAACTTCTGGCCTTAAGTGATCCACCCACCTTGGCCTCCCAAAGTGCTGGGATTACAGGAGTGAGCCACCATGACTAACCCCAGTTTTAAAATATAATAATTATACTAATCATTTTTCATATGGGATGATAATATTTCCTCTATTTTTTTGTCATTGAAAAAATTTGTATTTATTTATTGAGATGGAATTTTGCTCTTGTTGCCCAGCCTGCAGTGGTGTGATCTTGGCTCACTGCAAACTCTGCCTCCCTGGTTCAAGTGACTCTCCTGCCTCAGCTTCCCGAGTAGCTGGGATTTATAGGTGTCCACCACCACTCTCTATTTTTAGTAGAGGTGGGGTTTCACCGTGTTAGCCAGGCTGGTCTTGAACTCCTGATGGCGCACACCTGTAGTCCCAGCTACTCAGGAGGCTGAGGCAGGAGAATCACTTGAACCGGGAGGCAGAGGTTACAGTGAGCTGAGATCACACCACTGCACTCCTGGGTGGCAGAGTAAGACTGTCTTTAAAAGAAAAGAAAAAAAAAGACCTACGAAATGGGAGAAGCAAAGGCTGTTTATTCTCAGCTTGCTTTAGCCAGGGAGTCAGTCACCAGCACTGGCATTTGGGCAGAGACCCAAAGGCAGGCAGAGAAATGGGAAAGCTTTATAGAGGAAAAAAGCCTTCAGGTGTGCCCTCATGGGAGGCTGTTGGTGTGAGGAAGCTGTGGTGAGCTAACCAGAAGTGGGGCATCCTATGTGATTGGTCAGGGATGCCTATTTGGCTTTCCTTGGTTGGTCCTATGTTGGAAATGGGAACTGAAATTTGGGAAGCTGTCAGTTATCGATCAAGTCCTGGCCATTTTAGGCCAATTGTTACAGAAGTTATTTTTTAGCTTCCTGGATTGTCATGAGAGATAGCAAACTGGAGAGGCCGGGCGCGGTGGCTCACACCTGTAATCCCAGCACGTTGGGAGGTCGAGAAGGGCGGATCACAAGGTCAAGAGATGGAGACCATCCTGGCCAACACGGTGAAACCCTGTCTCTACTAAAAATACAAAAAAATTAGGCCGGGCGCGGTGGCTCAAGCCTGTAATCCCAGCACTTTGGGAGGCCAAGGCGGGTGGATCACGAGGTCAAGAGATCGAGACCATCTTGATCAACATGGTGAAACCCCGTCTCTACTAAAGAAAATACAAAAAATTAGCTGGGCATGGTGGCGCATGCCTGTAATCCCAGCTACTCAGGAGGCTGAGGCAGGAGAATTGCCTGAACCCAGGAGGCAGAGGTTGCGGTGAGCCGAGATCGCGCCATTGCACTCCAGCCTGGGTAACAAGAGCGAAACTCCGTGTCAAAAAAAAAAAGGTGAAACCCTGTCTCTACTAAAAATACAAAAATTAGCTGGGCATGGTGGTATGCGCCTGTAGTCCCAGCTACTAGGGAGGCTGAGGCAGAATTGCTTGAACCCAGAAGGCGGAGGTTGCGGTGAGCTGAGATCATGCCGTTGCACTCCAGCCTGGGTAACAACAATGAAACTCCGTCTCAAACAAAACAAAGCAAAACAGGTATAGCATGATAACACAGCCTAAATTACTTTCATTAGATAAAACTTAAAAAAGAAAACTCATTACAGGAATAGATTGCAATAGAATTCTAAGGATTTATTCTAAGGAAATAATCTGTAAAGCAACAAAATGTTCATTGTAAGGGAAAAACTTGAAGCAGCCTAAATGTCCAGCAGTAGGGTAATAGTAAATTACCTTACTCATAAGTAGGATATTATGTAGCCATTAAGAATGGTGTTTTGAGGCCAGGCCTGGTGGTTCACGCCTGTAATCCCAGCACTTTGGGAGGCCGAGGTGAGTGTCTCACTTGAGGTCAGGAGTTTGAGACCAGCTTGGCCAATATGGGGAAACACCATCTCAACTAAAAATACGAAAACGTTAGCTGGGCATGATGGTACATATCTGTAATCTCAGCTACTTGAGAGGCTGAGGCAGGAGAATTACTTGAACCCAGAAGGCAGAGGTTGCTGTGAGCCAAGATTGCGCTATATTACTCTGGCCTGGGCGACAGAGTGAGACTCTGTCTCAAAAAAAAAAAGAATGGTGTTTTGAGACTATTTGTTTATTTATTTACGAGAGAGTCTCGTCTGTTGCCCAGGCTGGAGTGCAGTGGGGCGACCTCAGTTCACTGCAAGGATTATGCTAAATCTACTCTGCCTGTGCTTTATCAATAGGAAAACAAAGCCTAGATTATAGTGTATCTGTTTACAGCATGGTTTACTGAATACTTTCTTTTTGGTTTGTTTTTGAGACAGGTTCTCACTCTGTCCCCAGGCTGGAGTGCAGTGGCATGCTCATGGCTCACTGCAGCCTTGACCTCATCAGGCTTGGGGGATCCTCTCACCTCAGCCTCCCTAGTAGCTGAGACCACAGGTAAGTGCTATCACATCTGGCTGTTTTTTGTATTTTTTGTCAAGACAGGGTTTTGCCATGTTGCACACACCAGTCTTAAACTCATGGGCTCAAGTGATCCTCCTGTCTTGGCTTCTCAAAGTGCTGGGATTGCAGGCATGAGCTACCTTACCTGGCCACTAAATACTTTAAGCCCACTATTGAGACCTACTCCTCAGAAAAAAGGATTCCTTTCAAAGCATTACTGCTCATAGACAATGCACCTGGTCACCCAAGAGCGCTGATGGTGATGTACAAGGAAATTACTGTTGTTTTTATGCCTGCTAACACAACTTTTATTCTGCAGCCCAGGAATAAAGGAGCAATTTGGACTTTCAAGTCTTATTATTTATGAAATGTATTTCATAAGGCTATAGCTGCCATTGATAGTGATTCCTTTGATGGAGCTGGGCAAAGAAAATTGAAAACCTTCTGGAAAGGAATCAGCATTCTAGATGCCATTAAGAACATTTATGATTCAAGGCTGGGTGTGGTGGCTCATGCCTGTAATGCCAGCACTTTGGGATGCCGAGGTGGGCGGATTGCCTGAGGTCAGGAGTTTGAGACCAGCTTGGACAACGTGCTGAAACCGTCTCTACTAAAAATACAAAAATTAGCTGGGCATGGTGGTGCGTGCCTGTAATCCCAGCTACTCGGGAGGCTGAGGCAGGAGAATTACCTGAACCCAAGAGGCGGAGATTGCAGTGAGCTGAGATTGCGCCATTGCACTTCAGCCTGGGTGACAAGAGCGAAACTCCATCTCAAGAAAACAAAAACCAAAAAGAACATTTATGATTCACGGGAGGTCAAAATATGAAGATGAACAGAAGTTTGGAAGAAGTTGATTCCAATCCTCATGGGTGACTTTGAGGAGTTTAAGACTTCAGTGGAGGAAATAGCTGCTGATGCAGTAGAAATAGCAAGGGAACTAGAATTAGAAGTGGAGCTCGAAGATGAAACTGAATTGCCTCAATCTCATGATAAAACTTTAATAGATGCAGAGTTGCTTCTTATGGATAAGCAAAGAAAAAGGTTTCTTGAGATGGAATCTACTTGTGTAGATGCTGTGAACACAGTTGAAATGACAACAAAGGATTTAAAACACTACATCAACTTCCTTGTTAAAGCAGTGGCAGCGTTTGAGGACTGATTCCAATTTTGAAAGAAACTCTACTGTGGGTAAATGCTGTCAGAAAGCATCGTGTGCTAGAGAGAAAACTCCTGTGAAAGGGAAAGTCAGCTGATGCAGCAAATGTCATTGTTTTATTTAAGAAATTGCCGCTGGGCACGGTGGCTCACGCTTGTAATCCCAGCACTTTGGGAGGCCGAGGTGGGTGGATCACGAGGTCGAGAGATCGAGACCATCCTGGTCAATATGGTGAAACCCTGTCTCTACTAAAAAAAAACCAAAAAATTAGCTGGGCATGGTGGCACGTGCCTGTAGTCCCAGCTACTCAGGAGGTTGAGGCAGGAGAATTGCCTGAACCCAGGAGGTGGAGGTTGCGGTGAGCCGAGATCACGCCATTGCACTCCAGCCTGGGTAACAAGAGCAAAACTCTGTCTCAAAAAAAAGAAATTGCCATAGTCACCTCAGTGTTCAGCAGCCACCACTGTGATCAGTCAGTAGCCATCAGTGTAAGGGCAAGAGTCTCCACCAGACTCAGATGACTGTTAACTTTTTTTTTTTTAAGCAATGAAGTATTTTCAAATAAGGGTTTGTACTTTTTTAGACATAATACTATTGCACAGTTAATAGTCTACAATATAGTATAAATGTAACTTTTATAAGCACTGGGAAACCACAAAGTTTGTGTGACTCGCTTGTGGTATTGTGATATTTACTTTATTGCTGTGGTCTGGAACACAAGCTGTGACATCCCTGAGGTATGCCTGTATTTTTCTTTCTTTCTTTTTTTTTTTAGTAGAGATGGGGTTTCACCATGTTTGCCAGGCTGGTCTCAAACTCCTGACCTCAGGTGATCTGCCCACCTCAGCCTCCCGAAGTGCTGGGATTACAGATGTGAGCCAATGCGCCCGGCCTTTTTTTTTTTTTTTTTTTTTTGAGATAGTTTCATTCTGCCACCCAGGCTGGAGTACAGTGGTGCAATCATAGCTCACTGTAGCCTCAAGCTCCTGGGCTCAAGCAGTCCTTCTGCCTTAGACCTCTCAAGTAGTTGGGACTACAGGTACACATCACCATGCCTGGCAGTTTTTTGTTTTATTGAATTGTATTATTATTATTTTTTCGAGGCAAAGAAAATTGTCATTCAGGTCTGTTAGCCAGGCTGGAGTACAGTGACACAAACATGGCTCACTGCAGCCTTGGCTTCTTGGGCTCAAGTGATTCTTTCACCTCAGCATCTGTCTGAGTAGCTAGGACTGCAGGCCTGCACCATGACATCCAGGTAATATTTATTTATTTATTTATTTATTTATTTATTTATTTATTTTTTGAGACGGAGTTTCGCTCTTGTTACCCAGGCTGGAGTGCAATGGCGCGATCTCGGCTCACCGCAACCTCCGCCTCCTGGGTTCAGGCAATTCTCCTGCCTCAGCCTCCTGAGTAGCTGGGATTACAGGCACGGGCCACCATGCCCAGCTAATTTTTTGTATCTTCAGTAGAGACAGGGTTTCACCATGTTGACCAGGATATGGTCTCGATTTCTTGGCCTCGTGATCCACCCACCTCGGCCTCCCAAAGTGCTGGGATTACAGGCTTGAGCTATTTAACATTTTTTGTAGAGATGGGTCTTGCTATGTTTCCCAGTCTGGAATCCATCTCCTGGGCTCGAGCAATCCTCCTGCTTTGGCCTCCTAAAATGTTGAGATTACAGGCATGAACCACTGCACCGTGTGAATTGTATTCTTTATGAGACAAATGCGATGTTAAATGCCGGTTGTATTATTTACCTGGAACAGTGGGTTCTGCATTGGCCTAGCAAATTATTGAACCTGAGGAGGTTGTGGGAAGCCCTGAATTTATAGTTGGTTGGGCAGAAGTTTGGGTGGTTTTTGACACCCAAGATGCAATTAACCTGTGGATTCTGCACTTAAGGTTCATAAATTTGGAAACAAGAGTTTTATTTTTTATAAAGGATTGTAGCCTGCAGGCTGGGAAGTGTAGCCTCTGGTAGAAACTGAAAGCAGGCACTTTGAGAGGGGGAGGCGGGAATTTATGCTGACCGGGTTGGCTTGTATACGGTAACAGGTTATAGGAGGAGCTGTGAATATTCATGAAGTGGGGGCACATGCTAGGAAGCCAACATGCATGCTACATAGGTCACATGTTTACTTTGGGGTGGTGACTTAATACTTAAATGTGTTAAAATTAGGCTGTGCATGGCAGAAGGTGAAACGGAGGAGCAGAGGCATCCTGTGCTTAGCCTCTGTAAACTGGCCAGAACCAGTCCCTGGTCAGCGGTCTTTTATCAGGAAGGATTGCTGGTCAGTTGAGTAAATCAGCAGTGGAGCAAGTCTTTTGGAAGGGCTGGTTACGGCCAGGCACAGTGGCTCATGCTCGTCATTCCAGCACTTTAGGAGATGGGGCATATTGCCTGAGCTCAGTTCAAGAACAGCCTGGGCAACATGGAGAAACCCCATCTCTACAAAAATACAAACATTAGCCTGGCGTCACAGCTACCTGAGGGACTGAAGCCAGAGGATTCTACAGGCTCAGGAGGTCAAGGCTGCAGTGGGGCCGTGTCTGCACTGTTGTACGCCAGCCTGGGTGACAGAGCACCGCCCTGTCTCAAAAATAAATAAATAAAAATAAAAGGGCTGGTTTCTCTTTAACTCTTAGGAAAGAAAGCCAGTTTGGGGGGGTGTATAATGAGGCTTGTCTAACCTGTCCCATCATGACCAAGAACTCAGTTTCTAAGGCTTCTCTTGGGTCCCTTGACCAAGAAGGGGTCCATTCATTTAGTTGGGGGTACTTAGGATTTTATTTTGATTTCTCAGTAGTTAGTATCAGAATTGAGTTGTAGAATACCCAGTTGATGCCCGAGAATTGGTGTTAGAATGCAGTTTGATTAATGTAACAATGATAATAATTCTAACACTATTCTCCTAGTCCCCAGCTTCAGTCAGACTTCATCTCTTCTAACCAGGCTCTCTTGTATGTCCCATTCTTTATAGATCTATGGACTATTTTATTTGATGAACCACAAACCCCCTCTATTCCTGAGGTAGCTCTCTGACTTTTCCTACTCTATTCTCTTTGTCTACTATAATGAATTTTAAATAATAATGACAAATCAATTTTTCCAAATTGACAACTTTATTAGTAATAATTTTTTTTTTTTTTTTGAGATGGTGTCTCACTCTGTTGCCCAGGCTGGAGTGCAGTGGGGTGATCTCAGCTTATTGCAATCTCTGCCTCCCAGGCTCAAGCGAGCCTCCCACCTCAACTCCCCTAAGAATTTGGAATCACAGGCGTGTACCACCATGCCCAGCTAATTTTTGTATTTTTAGTAGAGATGAGGTTTTGCCATGTAACCCAGGCTGGTCTCGAACTCCAGAACTCAAGGGATCCACCCACCTTGGCCTCCCAAAGTGCTGGTATTACTGGCGTGAGCCACCATGCCTGGCCAGTAATATTCTTTTACTTAAAAATATTCTGTGCACCCTCATTCCTTATTCATTAAGGTTCTCTACACTCCAGCCCCCTTTTCCTGTTTACTTCCACTCTTTCCCTAGATACTCTACTTTGTAACCACACTGAACTTCTCATGACCCTATGTTGTGGGGTGAATTGTGTCCTCCAAAAAGATAAGTTCAAGTTCTAATGCCTACCTATGAATGTGACCTTATTTGGATACAGAGTCATTGCAGATGTAGTTAGGATGAAGTCGCAGTGGGTGGATGGGCCCTAATCCAATATAGGCTGTGTATTTATAAGAGGAGGAGGTACAGACAGAGCCGTGGGGGGAACAGGAACAGAGAGACATACAAAGGAAACACCATGTCGTGGTGGAGGCGAGATT